GCTGCGACTAACGACTATTTTCATTATCAATTAATCTGTCAACTATCTATCACTATCATTTTCTAAATCGATTAGTTGTTTGGTCCAAAAAAAGGAGAAAAAATGTTGATCATTGTTTCCGAAAAGGTTACTTCGTTTTGTCCACAACCCAAAGGTACTAAGTTTACTGTCATAAAGGACTAAATAAACCAGAAAATATTCACCTTTGAGAAGCTGAAATCATTTAATTCTGATTATCAAAATAACTAACAATTAAGTATATTAATTAATTTAATAGTTGACAGATAATCGATTAATCGACTAATTGTAGCTCTAGGTTTGGGTTTTGTCAAACTTTAATTTTAAGATACCTTTTTTCCCCCCCATAGACCTGGAAACCGAATTCAACCTGGTGGGTTTTAAGCACCCATCCTCAGCCTCGTCATGCATCGTTCAGGAAGAAGTTCATTCTCCATTTGAATTTTGTTTTCAAGGGTGAAAATGTCTGTGTTTAAATATGTTTAAGAGTGGTTTCATACAGGCATATTGACCCTAGTTGTTTCCATAGCTACGTTTGTATTGCCTAGGCACTATTTTATATGCTGCACAGTTTTAATACTGATGCAGGGGTTTACCTATCGTATCTCCAGAGCTGCAATTGAGATTTGTTTTTGCAGTTTTTGTGAGGTAAATTTACATATTCATGTAGCATATTTTCATTGTGAAAACCATCTTTCTATGGCCCATTCTCTTGATATGAATTCTCTGTCTGTAATGAAAGGAAAAACTGATGTTTTCACAGTCCTATCTTTTCACTCTTTCTGGCTCGTTCGCTCTCTGGCACGTCTGTACTCTGGATTCTGTATATTTCTGTAGCCTCTCTCTCCCTGTCTCTTCCTCTCTCGCACACATATCTTCTCCTGTGACTCCTTTTTTCAATTCTCCTTGGTTCTCCTTCTACCCTCTCTCTCCTTACCTTTTTTTCCCCTTTTTTTTCCTTCTCTATCCTTCTCTCTCTCCCGCTCCCTTGCTCTCTCCCAGTGAAAGGCTGAGAATACCCAAGGGAGCTGATGCAATTAAAATGCTAATCCTGTCTGTCTACAGAGAGAGGGAGAGGGGGGGCTGACAGCATGAGGGATTGCGGCTCACATGGAGAACTCGACTGAAATGGAGAACAGAGGGAGGGGGGGGCACTGGGGGAGGTGGGTGGGGGTGTGCTGAAAGGGAGAGGGGGGAGGGGATGTGTGTTGGGGGGAGACAGAGTGAAAAAGGGGATGCTAGCGAGGGAAAAGACAGACAAGGATAAAGCTTGTGTTGTGAGCTGAGCAATGATATACTGACTGCGTTTAAGTCTTATCTATCCCTATGTGTGGAAGGCATTACAGTTAATGTACAGCACTACACTATTGGTTAGGTTGTTCACCCTTACCTGCACCACTTCATATATTGTGTCTTGTGTCTGCACAGCACACCGTTTCCACATTGGCTGTGCAGAAATGAGAATGATTATGTATGCAGCGAAAGCCCAGCTGGATACCCTGAATATTTCATAGTATGTGTTGCTCGCTCCGTCTCTCAATGCCACACAGCCCAGCTAGGGTGGTAACGTGTGCATAATGGTGTGATTTCTAAGAGCCGTGGAAGCTGGCTGTAGGCCTTAAGCTGTCTTCCTATTTAAAAAAGGGAATTTAAGTATCATTACTTACAGTGCTCTGAGTTTTAGTCTCTCAGTAACAGAACCAGCCCAGCGGCGATGTCAGGAGCCAGTTGATCAAAAGGAAACGCTGCTTAGACTTTAGAGCAAAACAGCCAGCCAGTTCTCAGACCTGTAGGTTTTATTGTCATTTGTGTTTTTCAGGATTCATGTCAGTTTGTGAGTGGAAAATTTGACTCCATTTTACCTGCATCCATGTCTTATGGTTCTTTTCTGTGCATTTCTTAACTCATCTCAATGGCTGCTATAATACTACTAGGCCGCTAGACTGTGCATGAGTGCAATTGTGGGTAATCACAGCTTAATTAGAGTAATTAGGGGAATGTAGGGGCATTAGGCTACAGCTGGGGGCCATAATGAGGAGTGGGGGCAAAAGGGAGGGGGGAGAGGTGAGAAGCTTCCAGAGCCACAGTTGCCCTCTTTACTGTAGGTCAGTTGTACGTGAATGGACAGTGAAGAATAACACCACACATGACTTCATACAGTCAGAGCTGTCTGATGGCCTAAATTTTGTCCACTCACAAAACCTAAACAACCATCAGAGTTTAGGCAAAGTATCCAAATAATCATGTAGATTCAACAGGTACAAAACAAATACTTCTGGTTCTTGATCAATAAATTGGCTATAGGTTATCTGTGCAGAGTGCAGAGATCGTTAGTGAATGACTGAAAGGAAAGAAAAAGAGGAGGGAAAGAGATGGGCGAATCAGGGTCATTAGTTCAGGCGGCTGGGTCTGCTGCATTCCTTAGCCCTGAGATGGGGGAGCAGCAGAGCAGGAATGTGCCTTGGAGAGAGAAGAGACCTAAGCAGAGGGAAAGAAAAAGGCAAGAAGGAACAAGAAAAAAAAAGGGGGGGTGAGAGGGAAAGTTGGACGCTTTGCTACGAGAGGCCTTAAATGGTGGAACAGACTCATTTATCAAATGAAGTTTGAAAAAGCAAAAACTCATCTGCTCCATAGCACTTGGAAACTTTAAGCAAAACTGTTTTTGTCCTCATTTCTTTCACATCTGTTAGCCCTACAGTACAGCTCTACTCATTTGTTAGCTCTGACTCCTCCACGGCTGCAAACTTGTTTTTCAGCTTGACTCTCTACGGGTAAACTTACATAAAGACTCTTAAGATTGTTAAAGTTATGGTAACAAAGGAAGCCCTAAATGAATGAGTTCATGCACCCCCTAACCTTTGATGATGAGCTTTGACTAACTAGTGTAATCCTTAAAGAGGACAAGCGCCTAACCCAGTTTCCATTGGGATTAATCTTGTCTTCCATATTCTTAGCGTCTGTCTCGTGTCTGGTTTCATTGCTGTTTAAATTGGCTTTTACCTGCTTAATCTAGTTTTCTAGTTACAAATATCAACATATGCTGTATGTGGATATAGTACTTGTGTTTACTTGTGACTGAGCCAATATTTTATAATTATGGCACATTTTAATATTTTTGCACTGGTCTCTATATTAGTTTACTATAGTTTTAGTTTTAGATTTAGGTTGTTGTTGTTGTCGTTGTTGTTTCTGGCATTTTACTTTATTTGGACAGTGACTGTAGACAGTGACAGAAAAGGTGGGGAAAGAGAGGGGATGACATGCAGCAAAGGGCCTGGGGCTGGATATGAACCTGGGGAGGGGTGGGGACTCAGCCTTCATATGTGGTACTCTGCCCGGGTTGCCCCCAACAACTTTCTTTTCTTTCATACAGATTTTCATACAAATACAGATATACACTGAAATGTATCCATTATCTCCACTAGGGGGTGTGTCTGTACACAGCTTATTTTGCATACTACTGGAGCCATCAGCCTAATATATCCTGTGCACATATGTGACTGTATACTTAAGGACCTCTTATGGTTGTGGTGATTCACAGTGTTTGAAAAACCTATTTTATCGATTGCTCTGTTTTATACCGTCATTGACTGCTGACTCCTCACTCCTTTTAACCGGCCGGTAGAGGCTATAAGTAATCAACATCTGCTTAATTTTGGAATCTTGTTTCCGTTAGGGACAACATTCGTGAAGGTCTCATTAGTGTTGGTGGATTCTTTTGCATTTTCACTTTGAAATTGACATTGTCCAAGGTTTGTCTCCATGTAGCCCGTCTACTCTGGTTACACCTTGATAATGTAAACTGCATCTCGTCTCCCCTTCATTACTTTCCTGCATACACTCAGCCCTGTTCCCCACTCACATGCCCCCAGACACATCCGGTGGAGATCTGCACTCCACTGCACTACTGAGTGCACTCTTCTAGTTTTACTATTGTACACAAACATAAGATATGTGGTGTTGGGTTGCACATAAAGTTAAAATTGATTTAATTATCAATTAATTTGCAGATTATTTTCTTGATTATTTAAGTCATTGTTCAGTCTACAAAATAAAATTAAAAAGTTTAAAAAAAAAACACAATTCCTCAGAGCCCCAGTGTTTGAAAACAGTCCAAAACCCAGACATATTCAGTTCAGTGATATAAAACAGAAAATCAGGGAATCATCATATTTAATAACTGTGTGTTTCATATCTAATTTTTCCGTTTACAAAAAAGGAACTACTGGTAAATAATGTGCCCAAGACATTGAATTGTGATACCAAGTTTTTACTCTTACCCTCGGAAGCTGAATAATTGAGAAGCAAAAGTGGCAAGATGAAATTTTGTTAAGTGTTAAAAGCTTCAGGCTCTGAAGAAAAGATGGTTGTATGTACTTAAAACTTTCCAGTAACAGAGTGGTATCTGTAAGGGAGTGTGTGTGCGTGTGTGTGTGAAAAAGAGAGAGAGAGAGAGAGAGATGAGAGCATGGCTGTAGGCTGACAGAGGTCCTGGTATAATGCAGTGGTGGGGAGCAGCAACTGATAACTATACTTATGGCCACTGGGGCTCATAGTGACAGCACATGCACTCCCATTACTGGTCCCATGCCTCATGCCCTTATCTCTGGCAGCCTGCCACAGAGAGACCACACTGCCCTCTGCTGTTGATTCTGAGGAAGTTCAGGCTCATTGAGAATTCACCCAAGCGCTCATAGCAATGACTCAGGGGAGAAACTTGACTGGGTTTTGACAGGGCTGCACTTCTTTGAATTTTAGCAGTGATAAAGCGTCTTCCTGTGCACCCCTGGAACTCAAAGTATTAGCCCTCTCCTTGAAGGGAAATGTGTGGCCTGTCAGTTTTCAAAAACTTTTTAACCAACAGGTTTGCTTAGCCCTAGAAATGTGTTCTGGCTTGGGCAGGCTGTTAATGAAAGAAACATTAAAAGTAAAGACTAACCTTGCTTGCCTAACTCCTATGCTTTCTCCTTTCTCCTGTCCAGTGCTGAGTATACGAGGTGTGCAGGAGGAGGACCCCCCAGATCCTCAGATCATGCGGTTGGACAACATGCTGCTAGCAGAGGGTGTGTCGGGACCAGAGAAAGGTGGAGGATCAGCTGCAGCGGCTGCAGCAGCAGCAGCAGCAGGGGGCTCACCCACCGACAGCAGCATCGAACACTCCGACTACAGAGCCAAGCTCGCCCAGATCCGCCAGATCTATCACTCTGAACTGGAGAAGTATGAGCAGGTGTGTGCAAAGCAGACGTACATGCTTGAACATGTTCTGTTATACACAAATGTTTCAAAAAAACTAACAAACATTTAGGTCAGCCAGTTAGTGAGAAACTTCCTCATCTTGTGCTAAATAAAAGGAAATATAAAGTGAACTGTTTGTAGGGTGTAAAGAATTTTTTTCCCCAACTATGCAACATTACAAGAATGATTACTTTTTGGTGGTATTTTAGTTAATACTGACAGTTGCTGTAGCATTGTTTTGGAATAAAACCTTTTATTAGAAACTACATGCCATAGGCTGCTGTGAGTCTGCAGACTAGTGTTGTTCTTGGCGGCCTGTTTTAATTTTAGTTTTAGTCTAGTCTTTGTGTCAAACTCTCATTTTAGTTTTTATTAGTTTTAGTCACGTTTATACTCTTTTTAGTCTAGTCAAGTTTCAGTCGACTAAAAGTCTGAGCATTTTAGACGTATTTTAGTCAGAATTATCCATGACTATTTTCTAGTTTTAGTCGACGAAAACTGATGAAATTTTAGTCTAGTTTAGTCTAGTAAATGAAAATTGTATTTTAGTTTCTTTTTAGTAATGCAATTCTATTTAGCCCGGTTAATATAGTACAAGTACCTAGTATAGTATAAACAAAACCAACATTTTCTTTAAGTCACCCATTTCACAAGTCAAACAAGGTTATCTTATTATTATCAAGAATACATTCAATTCCAGACACGGAAGACGCTCTGATTTGAATTTACAACATTTATTTTACCTACCAAACATGTACTAAGAAGTACACACACATAAATTTAAATAAAATAAATAAATAAAATAGCTTCAAATGACAATGCCAGAAAAAAGAGAAACAAGGTGCTTGACATATTAAAAAAGTGCAAATAAAATGTGTGTGTCGGTGGCTAACGTTAACCCACCGCAGCTGCATCTTCTAAATAATGCCGCGAGTGGGGATTGAGGAAGTGACGTAGCTTGCGTCTGCGCAGTGCGCTGATGCAGCCCCGAGACTCAGGAAACAGAAATACTTCAAAATAATAATAATAGCGAGACAAAATAATGTTATAACATTTCATCTCATCTCATTTTGGTCAACGAAAATTAAGAGATATTTTAGCAGAGTTTTTATTCTGCAACCACATTTAGTCCCGTTTTTATTCGTCAACAATATTGCATTATATATTTGATTATAGTTTTTGTCCCATGACCACCATTTACGTTGCGTCTCGTCTCATTTCCGTCACGTGATAAAGGTTCGTTGACGACGATATTTAGTCATAATTTTTGTTGACGAAAGCAACACTACTGCAGACTTCACCTGAAATCCAGTCACACAATAATCTGTGAAATGATCTACTGTAGTCTAGTTTATTTTACTTAAAAATGAAATTATTTTGACTGATATATTCATATATTGAGATGATGTTTTCTCCAAGACCACATGACCAAATATTGTCACATATCAAGTCTGAATTACGGTGTTCAGCTCTGCATTTTATTTTTAAATTTTAAAATGCATCCAATCAACAGTCAGACAGCTGAGGCCGACATGTCATCATCAGAATTAGAAGTCATGCCACTAGACAGAATCTGGGCTTTTTTCCCTTTTTATAGTAGCATTCAACTCTGCTCTCTCTCTCTCTCTCCCCTTCGTCCAGGCCTGCAGTGAGTTCACCAACCATGTAATGAACCTGCTGAGAGAGCAGTCGCGCACACGGCCCATCTCTCCCAAGGAGATTGAGCGCATGGTGGCCATCATCCACCGCAAGTTCAGCTCCATTCAGATGCAGCTCAAGCAGAGCACCTGCGAGGCCGTCATGATTCTGCGCTCACGCTTCCTTGACGCTAGGTCTGTCTGTGTGTCGAGGTGGTGTTATCACCATCTATGTTTGTGTGTGTGGTGTTGTGTGGTTGGTTATTTTCTTGAAAACTGAAGAGATCTGAGCATTTTGATGTCAGACATGCATGAGATGCATGTCATTCCAAACACGTTGGTCATTATCTCTTCTCTCTGTATGTCAGACGTAAGAGGCGCAACTTCAACAAGCAAGCTACAGAGGTTCTGAACGAGTATTTCTACTCCCACCTGTCTAACCCTTACCCTAGTGAGGAAGCCAAGGAGGAACTGGCCAAAAAGTGTGGGATCACCGTGTCTCAGGTGAATTGTTAACACCATTTTTAATCCATGACTCAAAGTAAAATAACATTGTAGCTGCTTTTGTGGAAGCTGAAGTTATTTTGGTTTAGTTTCACATACACTACTGCTCAAAAGTTTGGGGGTTACCTGTTAGATTTTTCTTATTTCCTTCAATAATGGCTATTTTACCATCAATAAAACAGTAAATTTCAGACACTATATGTATTATTTACATTTGAAATAGTTTTGGCCCCAAAAGGAGAACTATTAAATGTTTAAGACTTCCATTTAGTCAATGTCACACAGTGCTTCGAGAATACTGTTGTCACCATTTCCCTCTAAAATACACTTCTATTTTCAATTTGTTTTCCAGTCCAGAAAAGTGACCCTAGATCATTTCTGTAACACAACAGTGCAACTGGGCTCTAAATAACCTGTTTTTCTTTGGGGCCTCTGCAGTCTATTCAGTGGTTGAATAAGTTTTCACTTTTTAATTTGTTAGGTGATATTCCTTGATCCAATTCCAATAGTGCTAACCCTAGACCATATCTATATTTATATATGCTTTGCTAAAGCAACATGCCTCTTAATACCAGTTTGTCATAGGCATTATTGTGCATGTGCGACTGAGACAGGAACCTATTTAAATTTGCATAATATTTTAATGCTAAGCTTCCAGTTTATTTTACCAATGACGATGATTTTGACATATCTTTATCTTCCTGCCCTTTCAGTTGTCAGTCCAGTTGAATCATTGTGCAGCGTTTTGTTCTCCATGAACTTGTTTTTTTTGCAAATCCTTCATACTAAATTAAATCTATTTTTTAAGTAGAACTTTGTCCAATCTAAAAGTACGAAAGACCATTAAAACATTTTGAATAGTCCTCTCAGCCATCTGCCTGTACCAAATTAAGCTTTTCTGGCAAGTGACAACAAACTTCTGAGTGGTAGTGTACATACATACTTTATAGCATCTTTTTAAAATGACTTTAATTTGTTCAGTTTTTTTCTCTTAGTATACATATAATATCAAAGTACAGCAATGTATATAGATGATGAATTTTCCTTGTTTAACATTTCTTAGCCAATGGATCAACAAAACTGAGGCTACAACTGCTAAATTAACATGAAGGAAACCACTGCATTCGAATATCTGACATCCGTCTGTTCTTCAGGTCTCTAATTGGTTTGGCAACAAGAGAATACGCTACAAGAAGAATATTGGTAAGTTCCAGGAGGAAGCCAACCTCTACGCAGTTAAAACAGCGGTGGATGCTGCCAATGTGTCTGCGCAGGCTAGCCAGGCTAACTCTCCGGCAACGCCAAACTCAGGTACGTCATGCTCCGTCTCATCTACCAACAAGCCCTGCGGCTTCTCATGAACAGGCTTCAGTTCCTCTATATGCACATTCATTCTTATCCACAACTGAACCACACTATGATTGTATGAAGGGCTGACTTGATTGTTCAAAGGAAGGCCTACACTGTACACTGCAAATGTGCTCTCAGCCAGCTGCTATACTGATTAAAGTCATGTGAAATTATCTTATTTATTGTGCATAAAATCAGTGATTAAAAGCACTCTTCTTCAGCCAACACAGTATATAATATTTTGTGTGGAAACAAAATCCTAGACACAAGCGTAACTCATCCAGTACTGCTGTAGCTGTCAGGGGCTCATGTTTACATCATGGCATAAAATAAAGGATTCAAATTCTAACACAGAAGAAAATTAAAGATTCGGAAATATTTGGACAACAATAGGCAACTTTTTTTTCCACCAGTGTGACCTCCTTAATCTCACTTAATATACAAGTAAGCATTTGATTGTATTGTGTTTCTTATTGATATTTTTTCTAAACTTCATCCCCATGAGTAAATATTTTCTAATGTTTTTAAATGTTTAACACTTAAACATCAGTTTTCTATGGAGCCCCTAAAGGGACATGGCGAAAAAAAGCACTAGAAACTGATCTACAAGATAGTACACGGGATCGTATCAAGATAGTATCTAGTGCGCACTAGAAACGTTTCTCCCCCCCCATGTCCCTTTAGGGGCTCCGTAGTTTTCTATTATGTCCAAGTGATGTGCACGACACTTAGTTAGGATCAGAAAGCTGAGGATTGTGCATTGTGTGTAGCTGCGGTCTGTCAGCCAAGTTTTGCATTCATTTTTTATACTATGTTTTGTGTGTCAGATGCTTTTCTAACATTTTCAAATACAACTTACAACTTTTGTGGTACCCAAGGGTATCATCAGTTATAAGGTTTCAAGTGCTTTATGACAATCTCCTCCCGTTATTTATTTATCTGCTTGTTTGATAGTTACCTCAATCTTTATTGGTCTTATTTTATTCAACACATAGTAATAATATAGTAACAGCAATTTGTTAAGGAAGCTGAATGTACCAGGTAGGTGATCATTCAGATGTGATGATTAAATTAGTCAGTCACCCTTCTTACTCTCACTCTCTTCAGTGTCCTCAAAATAGCAACCTGCTGTGACCAGAGGATGTGTCTTTTTGAATGAGGAAAAGGCAAAATGTTAAGATAGTAAGAGGAAGCATAGTGTCTGTCACTGATGAGCAGTCCATAGTTCATTCATGTTTGTTACGGTGAAATACGCGATAAGAATGCAATATGACCACAACTTTCTATAGGCCAACACAAAATTAATCAATTCACAAGATATCTTACTAAAGGTTAAACTTGTACCAAAAGACACACAATTATACACAACAAACCACCTCTTGACTTTGTACATTGATTATACAAAATATTTGCCAATGTAGAAAAATGGTGTAATCTGAGTGTCAGTTTGTCAAAACTGTAGTGTATCCCTCTCCACATTGGGAAATGTGGAGAGGGATGAGCAACATGCGCAATGAACCCTTCTGTTGGAAAGTAGCTTTTTGTTTCAATCAGCAGTTTAAAGTATACTGTAGTCTTTACATTCACACATATATGTATATATCTACAATGTGAAACACCTCAAGTTCTTCACTACTGTTAAAGCTTCGGTATACTCGCTGTTCCCGACCTGTAGCGCGACAATGTGACGTCACGGGAGCGCCGTAACTATTTATACTTGCGCATGGTGTTCGCGACACTAGTTGCAGTCTTCTCCTGAACAGAGGTGTTGTAACTGAGGAAAGGCTACTGACTTTGCTATTTCTAGGCATTAGAAGAAGAAGAAAAATGTTTGTTTTTTTCCAAATCGGTCGTGGCGGTTCTTCCAAATTTTCCGGCATATGGCCTACTCTTTTCCGACATTCATGGTGATTTCTCGCCATGAATTCTGCCACCTCTGGGCATCTCTGTGTTCCTTCACTGAAGGATCGTACAGATCGTCCATCTTCCTGTTTCCGCTTTGGCGTGCCACCTGGTGCGACCTGGCCAAAATGCTGGCGCGCCAGCGAGAGCTACTTCATTTTGACATCACTTTGTCGCGCGACAGGTTGGGAACAGCGAGTATATAAGAGCCTTTAGACTGCCGCTCCCCATTTTCACCATCACATGATTGTAGCCCACACTGACAGACAAACATCAACAACTCTTGGAAACTGAAATGTTTTCAGCTGTAAAATTCATGTGTGCACATTTTGGAATTACATAGACCTGTTTTTTTATGATTTAATTTTCTCACTAGCACACATTTCAGCAGTTTGTGTGTAGCTGAAATGTGCATGAATGCCGAGGAGAAGCCAGATTTTTAGATGGCTGACAACACTGACCCTCATATTGAAGCTGGTTGCTAGAATTTACCTCTCCCACTCAGTTTCCATGACCAGTGGCGACCTTTTAACCCCATGGCACTATGGTGGGGCTGATTGGATATTGGCTATATATATTGCCTGCAGGGTCACCGGGGTCATTCAGTTTGTCTCACACAGGCGACGCCTACCTCAGCCTGCATTCGCTCAACGGGGAGGGTCTCAACATCGCCCCCTCTCTACAGCCGCAGGTATGCACTGAGGACAGCTGCAAAGTTGACCTCAATGCCGTTAACCCAGCCACCCAGAATCCCTGGATACCTACCCTTAGCCTAGCTCCTTTTGACCTCGACCTCTCCTCAGATCCTGTCCTGACTTTACCTTTGACCCAATCAACTCCTCCCCCAACACAAACACACACAAACCGACCCTTCTTTGCTCTGTACAGTGAGCCCTGAGGAGCTTATGGCTTCCCTCGAGAGGAATAATGTCAATGTGTTTTAAGGCTGTTTCAATTTGTGTTATTGCATATTCTTCAATAGTTACAGACCCATATTTATTTTGTAAGAAAGCACAAGGTCAGCCTCGGCACAGAACCCCTGGACCAGTTGAAGGGCACCAGGGCCTCCCTAAATACTCTTGTAGTTGTCAACTTGGTGGTCAGTTTCTCTACCCCCAGGTTGTCATGCACCTCCAACCCTTCAGTAGCCCCCCATCTTTTTAGTCGTTGTTTTCCCTGCCCTTCCACACATTTCTCCGTCCTGTCTCTCCTTGTGTTCCCCCCCTTGTTTAGACCAAGAAACAGTTTCCTCAAACTGAACTGTCTTTATGTTGTCTGTTAATAGACATGTCCAGTTTTGATCCACAGATTTCTGCTGTTTAACGCTATGTAGATTAGGAATTGAACAAACCAAAATAAAAGTACAAGATAAGCTGTAGGCTTCTGTTGCAGTCTTTTGTTTTGTGGAAGTAAGAGCAGAAGTAATTTAATGGAGGTTTGTGAAGTTGAAGCCACAGTTTAGTGTTGGCATTGACTAAAAAACAACTTGTTTAAAACGGGAGAGTTCACTTGAAGGAAAGCAGTCATGAGTAACAGACTGGCTCTGATACATACAGTAGAGGTTTGTGGACACTATCACTCCTTTGTTCAGCCTGTGGCAGTAGCTGGTAGCATAAACGTTTGTTCAGTTGTTCAAATGCTGTGCTGACATTTGTGTTGAAACTTTTGGGTGTGTTTTGTCTCTGACAGGTGGATACCCTGCACCGTGCTACACACCTGACGGGCGGCTATGAGGAGCTGTCGGGCAGTGGCCTCTACACCCCTCATCGCCTGGATGTGAGTACAAACTAAAAGCCCCCTTTTAGGTGTAGCTGATGAATATGTTTGCAGTTAGTCAGAATACCTGATTAGAATATGCTCTGAGAACAGTTCAGGTGGATGAACTGCTGCCATAGTTGAAAAGCTTCCCTTAAAATGCCCAGATAGGATAGCGGCCAGCTTCAACCTCAACTAGACATCATTAACTTGCAAATCACCAAATCAGTGCTTTCTGGGATCTGACAATAAACCATAGGCCCTTCCAAACTTTTACCAAAACTAAAATAAGGTCAGGGAGGTATTTGATTACTGACCTGCTCCATGTATACTTGGATTTACAGCATGTAAAACTGTTCTGTTTGCTTGAGTAACCTGATTTCTCTGAGTAACACGGTTACTTAAGTGCATGAAAACACCCTGAAATCAACTACTGTTAAGTTTTAACAGACGGGTAGTTCCTAGAATGAATAGCATTTTGTCTGCAACCGCTAGGCTATCTCGAGGATGCATCATTTGACTAGTAAGCACAAATATAGCTGATTTAGACCACTAATTATAAAACTCCTTCTTCATGCAGAATACTCTCTTCCCTGACTGTTTGCAGGCTAACAGCTGGCAGGACACCACCAACCCCCCCTCGGTCACCTCCCCTCCCGGTCCTCCTGGCAGCGTCCACTCCGACACCTCCAACTGATTCGGTGGCTCTCCTTGCCATCACTTCATTCCCACCGCGGTCTGCTTCGACTACCATCCCCTGTCCTCATTTTTCACTGTTCCCTCGTCTCTCAACTAGACAGCCACACAAGGCTGTACTCGCATTTCATAAACACACACTGTGCTGGAACACAGGACAGCCGACCAGTAGTTAGGAGGAATTCTCCCTCCTCCCCACAGCTCCACTTCAATGCTAGAAGCTCCATAACTCTGAATGAAAGAGGGACGGAGCTTACTGATGCCGAGACAGATAGAAAACATCTTTACTATCAAGGACCTTTTGAAAACCACTGACCCAGCTGTGTAGATGATCATGATGTCTGTACATTATGTGTATATGCACGTTAACTTCACACAGTACTCACACAGCTTGTCCATGTGCTGTTGACCTCTGCACTCAACCCTTTGCTTTGGAAAACTGTGTGTGATTGCCTGTATCTCTTGAAGCCTTGGCATTTGACAGCCAAACTGTTGATACGGATCACCAGGGAGCTCTGCTCACCTTGCTCGTACCAAAGTGCTGCCCCAGTAGTTGTCAACACATCTGTTCCTCTTGAGATCACCCTCCGCCGACTCAACACAAGACACTGTTGTAACTTCCAGTCCTTATAGCTTGATGTTCCATTCTGTTGGAGATTTCAAAGTGAGTACTTGAGATATGCACAAATGTGCATGCACCCCCCCTTCCATAACGCACACCTCACAACTTTTCAGTCGTTTTCATAGTGAGCTGACATAAAAGATGTGTCGAGCACAAAAGTTAGTATCCTCGTTGTGGGCGTGTCTACCTGTAAAATGGTAGTTAAGGGGATCACTGTTCTAAACCAGACAGGACAGATGATGATAGGGCTGGTGAGAAGAGGAGGAAAGGGCAGACAGAGGAGAATATCTTTGGTTGGGTGGATGTAACTAATAGCCCTTTTTGTTGCTAACCAATAGAGGGTGTTGGTAGATGGCTTGTAGACTTTACTTCTTGCTTTCTGTCCACTAGTTTATTTGATTGTAGGCTATTTTCTAATGCTGTTTCACCAAGAATGCACCAGCCACCACCAAAAATGAGCTCAATAAAGCATCTAAATGACGTTAGGAGATGGGTGGAAAGATTGTGGGGCATTGATGTGTTATTGGGACAAACGTGACATGAATTTAGAAACGTGACTGTCTTCCATGCATGTAGGACTTCTAGGCGTGATAATATTGTTTTCATTTAACCTTCCGAGTTTTTAGCTTCGTTTTTATTAACAAAAAAATAAAGGGTATAATTATTACAGTCAGACCAAAAAGGAAAAAGTGCATCATGTATTGCTATGATGTGTGTGTCTCTGTGTGGGCGTGTGTACAGTGTTCTTGGGATGTCTTAGTCAAACTGGCTGGTGCCCTCTGACCTTTGTAAGCATTATAGAGACTGGGTGCTTCCACCAGCCAATGGCACACCAGGTGGGGTTCAACTGAGATCTCCTCCCCATCTTGAAACATTTAAACTTGTGAGCCCGAGGCAACACATTACAACCTTCTGTTGTACCAAAACCAAAAATACCACATTCAGCAATGTAATAATGCTACTCTGTATCTCTCTCTAAAGTTGGTGCACAGCCACCTTTTCAGTTTGAGGAGAGGAGGGAATTATATTTGTATCTGTGTCTCTCTGTGTGGTGTTGTCATGCCTCAAGTTGATTTGATTTTTGGGGGGTTTTGTTGTGGGGCGTTCATGGGAGGGTGGGTGGAGTGAGGACTGTCATATCACACCTGTATTTTGATTGTGAGCATAGAAGGTATGCTCTCCCCTGTACCCATCTTTTAATATTTTCTGGTAAAACCACAACTATTTTCCTCTTAGTTCTATGGCCAATTGGGCAAGGGCTTCTCTCTCTCCTCTGTTACCAAAAAAAGAGGCAGCACTGGGTGTAGTAAAACTCTTAACTCACGTTTAAGACATACCTGCAACCTGTTTTTGGTGATTTACATTTTTTGGAACTATTTTATACATTAACGGTTATGTGAATAACAAAGCATTTTGATAGTAAGGTAAAGCCTTATGAAGATTTAAGTGTCAGTCAAGACTTTGTTGAACCATGTTACAGAACAAAACTTGAGCTTCTAGGCTGGTCATATGTGATTTCCCACATCTAATTACTTATTTTGTTACTCATCGCAGTTCATACGACTGTATCTTATGAATAACGTTATCACCACACCAAATTATCATCCTCCCCCTTTTTCTACCTGTTGTAATGGATGTCACTGTACAGTTTGTGTAATGTTTCAGTATTTTTTCTTTTTTCTTTTATAAACTTTGTTGTTTGTTTGAGATCTGCCAGTTTTATTTGGCCTTTGTGTCACAGGATTCACAATAACTCTGTATCAGTTTTGAATATTATTTAGGTCTTTTGTTACATAACCGGGAGGCAATGTGGGGTTTACAGGTGTAAACATTTGGTGCTGTGGAACAAAAACTATCAATTGAGGTTCTCCAGTGGTCATGATTTGATGCATTTTTGACGTATAGATTTTATGGACCCCTCCCTTTCCAATTCACTTTCAGTTTCTAACTTTTCCACACTTTTAAATCTTTTCTGAAACCTGCTCAAATTATTCCACTGAATCTCTAAGGTCTTTTTAAAAAGGAGTTTTGAAAACAGTTGAATAGTTACATGAAGGGCTGTTAATACAAACTCTTCTTTTTCCAAATGTATCAGCCCATGTAGCTAAACGTAAAGGTGCAACCCTAAAATGTATTCCCGTGGGTCATTTTTAATGCTGAAACATTGTGAGTAAGTGAGAATAAGCAAGTATTTGCATGCAACTCAGGGTGTTGATGCTGAATTTGCTTTGAAAAGTTGTGACATCATGAAAGAGGAAGGCCTACATACCTTTACACTTAAATGCGTACAGATAAAAAAACATTCATGTCTAAACACTAAAACACACGTTGTCCCCCTATATCTTAGATCTGCAATTCTAAAACACAGAACATAATTTTACATTTAACCGTTGATCATGTTTATATCTCGTTTGGATTCTGACTAAATGACTTCCACAGCATCAAATGGCTTCCTAAACCTTTTGATTTCTTTTGTTTTTATTAGTATATTTGTATCTCCCCTCTTTCCCTTGTATTTACCCCTCTCTCTACCTCTGTCTTTCCATTTCTCTTGTATATAACCCCCACTGTTTTCAGACTTGTGAGTCTGTATGAACTCCTTTTATACCTCAACTTTAGAATTGTTCTAGAAAGAGTAAAAACAAAAAGGAAGAATATGACAAATTGTAGTGTTCTTATTAGAAAATTAATAAAATGATTTAGTGTGATTTTTCAGTATTTGATTTCAGACTTTAGAGTGTTTCATTTTATAATTTGTCACAAATGCTCTTGTGATAGTCAAATGTAATAAAAGGAGAGATTGCACCATCTGATGATTAATATGTGAATCTGTCAGCCTCACTGAGACTGAGGAAAACACTATCCTGAGAAATGTACACGGATAAAACCCTTTTCAGCTTTTCAACAGATGCATCTTTATGTTTGTTTTGTTTTATTTATTCAATTCACAAGCGCAAACATGGGAGAAGAGTTCAGCAGAAGTTGGCTAATGTCCAGCAGAAGAATCAAACTTTTACACAATGTGTGCTGGTTAGATGTCAGAGTAAAGATTTGTTTTTTTAAATCCTAGGCCTGCAGCCATTACACCCCAGGAATTGTCCATCTGTCTTCTGTATTGTTTGTTTCCATACAGACGGCCTGATCTTCATGCTTCTGGACACAGCTAAGAGTTTCCTGTAGACAAATATTATTTATTGAGCGTGACAGGGCATAAAGTAAAAATTAGGTTTTGAATTTCCTTGAAATTAACCTAAGTTAGCTACAATCAAAATTCAACATTTAGTCATTTATGCACTTTGTCCCTCCTGTCACTTTACTTTTCCTGACTCCTTGCACCAGGTACCTCATATGTTAGATTGTAAAAAAGCATGTGCCTTTGTAAGTTACATGAAAACCTGGAGTAAGTGAAGAGCAATAATCAGAATCTTAATCTAATTGCCTGTAAGTGCTTTGGACCTTTAAATTTTACAGGCTGGATTTTGCACTGCCCGGAAAGCAACTTCCTGTATCAACCGTAACTGATGTAACTCTGTACCTCTGGCAGCGGTGGGGCAGTCACGACAGGTGATGGCCTCCCCTCCTGGTCAGCGCTTCTCCGACACAGGCAGTACAGGATCGTCTTGAACGTTGTCCGCATCTCGTCATCTCGCAGGGAATAGATGATAGGATTGACCAGAGAGTTGCACTCTGCTATCACTAAACAGAACTTCTCAACGGCGTTGATGTGGCTGGCTTTACCCACCAGTCCATCCAGCAAGAGAGTCACGAGGCCGGGCGTCCAGCAGATTATGAAGGCGCCTGCAGAGATGTGGGATGGGCAGAAAACAAACAGCAATAAACTAAATCCTCTGTGAATTATGTAATATATGATCAATCTGTCTCTAAGTGCAGCAATGTTAGGCAACATTTTTTCATTGATTGCTTAATATCAAGGTATACTGCCACATAGAACACATTTACCTCCAGGAGATGTGTCGCCTGAGCAATGATAGAGGTGGATTATGACTTCACTGTGACATGCTGGAAATTCCTAACAACCTGTTAGAACTTATTAACTGCAGCAATCAGATGAGGTCTGACAAATACAGGTGAAGCTGCAAAACTGGTTTGTGGAGGAAGTGGGAGGCTGCAGGTAGCAAGCGCCATTAAACAACAACAACAAGCTCTTTTATATTTTGTTCATGCCACGGTGATGTGTGTTTCCTGAGGAAGACGGTGCTACTTACAAACCAAACCTTACAAACTTGACCTTTGACCCACAACTAACATCCAACAGTGGAGGGTGACAGACAAACAAACTTCTCACCCAGAACCATGGAGATAGTTTTCATCAGGTTCACAACAGTCTGGCTGTGCCACATCTCCGCGGTGTGCCGAGATGTGTACCTGCTCTGGTATCTCACATACATGAAGATCCGAGTGTACATGCCAGCCATGATAAAGAAAGTGAGCAGGTTGAGGCCTGCCCAGAAGATGAGAAAGCGGCGGCTGTAGAGGGGTGCCATGGTGGAGCAGTCATCCAGATCACACTCGCAGTTCCAAATCGTGGAGGGCACCAGGCCCATGATGATGCTCACGGCCCAGATGCAGACTATCAGCAGCACCACGCGCCGTTTGGTCATCTTGCTGTGCAGCTGCATGGTGGTGATGGTCTGGTGGCGCTCCACGGCGACAGCCAGGAGGTTGGCCACTGAGGCTGTCAGGCTCATTTCAATCAAAGCCCCGCGGATGTACCACTGCTCTTTGGTGAGCTTGCGCGTCATAGGGCCCGTGTTCAACATCAGGTTGGCGTAGGCGATCCCTGCAAACAGGTCTGCTGCAGCCATGTTGCCCATGAGATAGTAGATGGGGAAGTGGAAACGGTGGTTCATGAAGATGGCCACCATCACCATGAGGTTGGCCAGAACCACGATGAGACATACTGTCAGTCCAAGTCCAATCACCACTAAGTCCCGCGTCGTCCAATATAAGCTGATGTTTTTACCCACATAGTCGTAGAAGAACGTGACATTGTGACTGTAGTCGCAGGTATTCCACATGCTGCTCTCTGTGGCCATTACTGCAGACACAAAACACACATTCATGGATGTTAATACACACACAAGTTGTCTACAAGAGATGCAACAGCTGATGATGTACAAAACTGTTATCTTTTCAATGTAAGGCTTCCCTTTCAGTACAGGTTCAATATTCTTCCTGTCCAATATCAGACTTTAACCAATTTAATGCTAGAACTATTTGAAACTATCAGCCTCTCATTGTTGCTGTATTATCCATTTAATTATGACCCTGCATTGTTACACTTGCACTGTGGATTTTGTGAGTCCAGACACTTGCTCTGTACACATAACAAGATCAGTTTAACACAGTGGTTTTCAGTGGGTGTCCTATCAGCAGTACACATCCTCCATCATAGTGTCCGTGACAGATAAGTCTCCAAATATTATCGGCTAAATTTAAAAAAAAAATATTACAAATTTCTAGAAACCAAAGTTGACATTTTCGAATTGCTCTTTTTGTCCAAAACCCAACAAAGAAAAAAAAAAACAGCAACCCTTCAGATCCAAGAAGCTGAAACCATTTGGTAATTTAGCGAGCAAACAATTAAACAATTTAACTCAAGTTCCCTCTTTATTCTGAGACAACATTTCAAAATAAGGGACATACATACCCGACTGTGAAACATTTTAGTTCATCTAATGTGTTTCAACTTGCAGGTACACGCGCCACTGATACTGAATCTCATCTGATAAAAAAGGAAACTGGCGCTGAGAATAATGTTTCATCTAGACTTCCTACAGTTATTATTATATGTTCTTATTTTTAACATACCGCCGTGGTTAGGTTTTCCTCCATCCAGACACGTCCGGCACGAAACTAGAGTTGTTCCGCTGCCATTTGTTGAAAGAGGAAGACTGTTAGTTGCTTTCACTTCTGTCCGTCCACACGACGGCACAGTTTCAGGTAGACGCCTCTGATTCTCACTCAGTTCAGCTGGACCTGTCGACACCCTCCCCGGTAGTGCGAGGCGCCTCCAACTAAAGCTGGAAGAAAAAGAAAAAAAACATACACACAGTCGGTTTGACTCTTTTTGTGCCTCTAAAGCCGACATTTCTGCTTTGAGGATTCAAAATCTAACGATAATTGAGATATTGCTCGGGTAGTTTCAGTGTTTAAATCACTTCTTAAAGTAGAGCAAAGACTCGGAGCTACAAGTGAAGTAAGTGACAGAAAGATTAAATACATAAAACTGATATTCACACTGAAGATGTGTTTTTAAGAGGTGCAAACAAACATATCAATAGTCACCACTACGAAGTAAACTCTTTAGTAATGCAATTATTATTCATTCATTTATATATCATGTTATTTTTGATCATCACACTGATATTGATCTGTTCATATTGATAATAATGACTCCGCATTAGCCACTATTTGATTTATTGTGGTTTGTTACTGTGACCACTGGAGGGCGGTAAAGACCTTGAATACGTGAGTTTCTAGCATCAAGTCAGACATACTATTAATTCAGAATGCTGCAGCACGAGTACTGACAGGAACTAGAAAAAGAGTTTACATCTCTCCTGTACTCGCTTCTCTGCATTGGCTCCCTGTAAAATGTAGAATAGAATTTAAAATCCTCCTCCTCACCTATAAAGCTCTTCATGGTCAGGCCCCTTCATATCTTAAAGAGCTCATAGTACCCTATTACCCCACTAGAACACTACGTTCTCTGAATGCTGGGCTACTTGTGGTTCCTATAGTCTCTAAAAGTAGAACAGGAGCCAGAGCCTTCAGTTACCAAGCTCCTCTCCTGTGGAACCAGCTTCCAGTTGTGGTTCGGGAGGCAGACACCCTCTCCACATTCAAGAGTAGGCTTAAGACATTCCTCTTTGATAAAGCTTATAGTTAGGGCTGGATCAGGTGAGTCCTGAACCATCCCTTAGTTATGCTGCTATAGGCCTAGACTATCGGAGGATTTCCCATGGTGCACTGAGCTCCTCTCTTCCTCTCTCTTTCTGCACTAATTCATGTTCCATTACTGCATGTTACTAACTTCACTTCTTGTGCTTTTTCGTCTCGCAGGTTCTTGTCGATCCTGGTGGAGCCTCCTGCCATGGTCCTGCTAGATTGCCATTACCAATACTGTTGTTGCTGTGCACCTGTCTGTCTGTCTGTCTGTCTCTCGCTCTCTCTCTGTCTCTCGCTCTCTCTCTCACCCCAACTGGTTGAGACAGACGACCACCCACCTAGAGCCGAAGGATCTGTCCTAGGTTTCTGCCTTTTAACAGGCAGTTTTTCCTTGCCCTTGTCGCCAAGTGCTTGCTCATGGTGGAACTGTTGGGTCTCTGTAAATAATGTTATAAAGAGTTCGGTCTAGACCTGCTCTATTTGAAAAGTGTCCTGATATAACTTCTGTTATGAATTGGCGCTATACAAATAAAATTGAATTGAATTGAATTGAATTGAATTGAATTATATTAACACTTTCAGCTAATACCTTCAAAATAAAATAATCCAAAGAGGATTCACCATTAGGAATCCTAATATGCTGTCCAAGTATGTAAATTTAAACATTTATTGTTGGATGTCTGTTCAAATGCAACAGAGAGCTGTGTTGTACATAAAAAAAGAAATAAAACAAATTACTATCTTAAAGAATAATAATGATCAAACTAGATAATCTAAGTGTCCTCAACCTTGTTTTTGTCCTACGGCACCAGAAAAAAACAAATAAATGAATCCTACTACAAGTAAACAATGACACTTGGTGTAATGGATGCAACATACTCAAAACCAGATCCAGCCAACATCAGAGCCACAGTGCCAGTTGTTCTAGTGTCACTCAATAAAAGTAACAGCAGGTTGGAACTGAAGATGTGTAATGATCTTTTAATTTTACATCCTAAAACCTGTTAAATATAACTGAACAATATTAGTGTGTGAATACTGTGAAGAGGATATGGTGCTACTTTGTGTCCTCTGTCACACAATGGAAAAATAATGAGAGGTGGGGGGCAGATGGATGCAGAGACCAAACAAAAAAGTTATGTATCAGTTATATCTCTGATGCTGAATATCTAATATAAAGGGAAATACTTCAACTAATTTACAAAACCTCTAAATAAATTCTTTATAGCCAACAGCTGAATTGCATTTTTGAGGATATTCTTTCCACTTTTTGTTGCATTACTATTTTCACCACTACAGGGGTACTAGTATGAAACATAGAAGATAGATTTGTCTGCCAACAAACAAAAGAAAGTTCAATAAAAGTGCACTACATGTCATTCATTACCACGTGCCCAAACTGCAAAAGGGTTTTCTCTACACCTGTGGGTGGCAAAACTGTTTCTGAAGTGCTGTTAGTTCCCTTCCTTAAAGTGTAAAACTGGTCTGACAATGACCGAATCTCTTGAGAATCTGCTAAACGAGAACGAGCATGCTTCCTCTTTCCACATATCAGATACCGAGAGGTATTTCACATTTAAAAAACAAAAACAAAACAAGAGACAGAGTTTCGTTTATTTTTTATTTTCTATAAAAGAGATGAGTTTATTCAATGATCATAACAGACTGAATCAGAGACCTCGATAGACCACTCACATACCAAACGATAATCGAGGAAAATGTTTCAACAGAACCCCCAAAACAGAACAAATGTAACACAAAATAAAATACCTGAATAAAGCAAACTCTCGGCTGAGCTGCGGGTCAGCACATTCTCTGTAGAACTCATGGCACATTATGTCCAACAGTTATTGTGAAAAGGAAAAAAAAAAAAAAAAAAAAGACTAAAAAGGAATGAAGTTTTTTTTTTTTTTTTTTTTTTAACCCTTTCAAAAACCAGTCTAATAAATTCTATACTCATATATGGTGGACTTCATAGAAATAAAAAGGTGACTTAAGCACAGAAACAAGTTCTCCTGAAGTACTGTTTATCTGTTTATTCTCATCAATAGAATGCTTATCTACATCGGGGAACATGCCTCCTGCACCACACACTTTAAAAGTTTTTAACAAAAACAAAAAAAACAAAACAAAACAAAAAAAACACACACAGTCACACAGCCGTCCAAATTTACACAGTCACACTCACAGACCAGACTCAAACGCTAGTGTGGCAACGCTGAAACATATCTACCTAAAATATGCTGATTGAACAAAATGAGAAAGTAGTTGTCAGATGTGTACACTCATAGAAGTCCAGCTAAAACTAAATTTTAAAACCCGAATATTGACAACGGGTAAAATATAAAATGCTGTCTTTTCCTTTTTTTATTATTTTTTTTTTTACACAAACTCTTTCAAAAAATCTCCCCCCCATTCAAATATTACACCACCCAGTCCTGACTCGCCCCCTTTCTAAACCCCCTCGAAGTGTAATATAAGCCAACGAGAATTGCAATACAATACAGGCACTGGAGAAAAACACCATAAGAGACAAGTGAAGAGGACGAGATGCATTCGGATTTCAACCCATCCCCAATCCAAACAATGTCTCCAAGAACAGCATTATAACTCACATCCACTATTATTGAACAAGAACAAAGATATAAATCAAAACTGTTTTTTTCAGCATTTTCCGTTTCTTAACTTTTGTAATTGTTTGCCTTTTTTATTTTGTACTGTCAACAGTGTGCCCTCAGTGAATTAGAAGACGATTTGATGCAAAAAAAAAAAAAAAAAAACCTAACTGGGAGCTCCTTTCAGTCCCTTCAGCTATTGTTACTAACCTGATTCAAGTAACCGCTACAGAAAAGGTGTCAAGTGTTTGTCTTAAAGCCCCTGACCGTCCACTTTCTGCCTCGAGCACTCGGCCCATTGACGTTTGATCAAAACCTTTAGGTAAGATCGAAGCGCACGCAGCGGGAAACAGCAAGGGGCTCCTCATCTTCTCATATCTTAACTGATCCAGTAGTGTGACTGTTGTGAACAGGCCAATAATATGGACATTTTCGAACATATTGTCTCAAAGTGTAATACAAATAATGGTGCGACACTTGTAGTGAAATCATATTCCAACTAAAGCTCAGAAACGGTTGGACCTTTCCCTTCTTCTGCTAGCAAATTCCTGTTGTAGTTTGGAATGAAAAATACAAGGCAGGATGAAAACTTCAACTGATTCTGTCTCTGATATATACTTGTTGGAACTATGATAATGCATATATTCAGGGTTTTTTTTTTGTTGTTGTCACTAGCTACCTATCATGTTTTAGGACAATTAATTTAGCATAAAAGATAATGGGTTGTTTGGCATAGACATAGGTGGTGGAGTGTGTTGGTGTGAAAGACCTAAATAGGAAAAAAAAAAAGAAAGATCCAAAATAAACAGTTATTGTAGTATAAGAAAATACTTCTTTACAGTAGATACTAGATGATGAAAAAAAGGTCTGCACAGCTCCTACTTCTGGTTGTAAATGTTATTGGTTTGTCCATGTGTGCAGGCCACAGAACATAATGGTCTGTTTAGGAAACAGGTGTAAGGCAAACTGTACCTTCTCTGCTGAGAAATATACATGATTTACAGTATGGAAGTTGCCCCCAACCATTTCATGTGTTCACTTACAACAATCAAAACGAAACAGAACATAAAAGACCAGTCTTCTTCACCACCTCAGACATCTGGCAGTTTCAAAACACCTCTGCGCAGTCTGTCAGTACATTATCAGAGCATTTTCATAGATATTGGGATGTCTTTACTCTTGAAGTTTATTGTTGCGCCCACGCACGCTGTAAGTAGCAAGTGTGACAAAGGCAACTGTGCCAACAGGGGTCCTCTTTCTCCTGTTATGAGATATCAGGCAGGCAAAGCCAAATTCCCAGGAAATGACATCCGAAACAATGAGACTATCTCCGTGTGTTGCGTGTGTTCAGTCCGCAAGGCGAGGAGGAGGAGGAGGGTGATGGTGGGACAAAGCAAGCTGTGACTGCCCGTCCAGCGTTTGTACTCAGTCCCCGAGGGCCCGTCACATCTACGTACAGTCTGTGCCCCTCTGTGGTGCGTGGTCGCCAAATCTCTCTTTAGAGGAAGTTTACATCATTCAAGTTTTTTTTCTTTTTTTCTTTTTTTGCAGTTGCGTTTCAGTTGCTCCTCTCCTCAAAACAGGTTCTCCTCAAAGATAGCCATTAAGTCACTTTGGAAATTCATGTCGATAGTTGCTGCCATCTGGAGAGAGAAAAGAACCACTGAGCATTTCCTTTACATTCATTCCTCCTTATAATACTCTGTTATTGCTTCTGTGTGTGCTCAACTTGAGATCTGTTGTTGTAAACTCACTTTGTAATTTACTATAATTTCTATTACATGGCAATTTGGCATCATTAAACTCCATAAAACTAAAGAGTGCTTAAGATAATTATCTCACCGCTTCTCGCCGCCTCCTCTCCTGCTCTCTGCGACGCGCTAGCTCCCTCTGTTGGTCTAGTGGGTTCTGTGTGGCAGCCTGTGGCGGTGTGGGGGGTTGAGGAGGCTGCTGAATGGGGGCTGGCTGGGGCTCCGGCTGCTGCTGCTGCTGCTGCTGCTGCTGCTGTTGTTGCTGTTGTTGTTGCTGTTGCTGTTGTTGTTGTTGTTGTTGTGAAGGAGCTTGGATGTGCTGCTGCTCCATACGCCTGCGTGGCTCTTCGTGAACCCTTCTGCTTGGCTCCATGATGTCCTCTTCATCTCGGCCCCTGGAAGACATTCAGGCCAATAATTCGGTGAGATACTTTTCACTTTGCTGTATCGGGTTCACAACTATGTAAGAGATATCCTTAGAGCTAAATCAGGTGCCATTCTAGATGTCTCACAGGGAGATCTCTTAGAAACATACAGGGTTAGGATCTGTGTTTAGCTAAAGGAAACAGCTATTGTCTAATGCACAGTAGAACTTCGCTCTGTTTTATCCAGTTAGAGTCTATGGTGCGTCAGCCAGTGGAACATGCTTATCTTTTGTAGCCCAGCTGTAGAAATGATAGATTATTTATACTCACTGTATGGAGTGAGGGAATGTATGGGTAATAAATAAAATGTACAGAAACAACTGCATGATGAATGTTGACAGTTTATGCTCCCTTTGATGCAGTGAGTGATATGTGTAGTGGAGTTGGTTAGTTAACTGAGGCACATCTGTGGCACAATAAGAGTAGATGCTCATATATAGTCTCTGATGCCAGCTGCTGAGGACTGACATCACACTCCACCAACCAATGCACTGATTCTAATATTTTCTGGTTCAAATATGGACATCTGAAACAACCCCTCCTGCAGTCTTTAGTTACTCATGTCTTAGTTGCTGCTGTGGTCCTACAATATGGCCACTAGAGGGCATAATATAATATGTCACCTCATAGGGTTTCCTGTGTCTTATTTATCATCTGGCAACCCACACTAAAACAACTGCCCTCATCCAAGTACATTTTAGTTTTTAATTTATGCCTGGTGCTGTGCTTTACATGTGGAAACCTTAACATTGTTGATGTTATGATACAATATCCGATTTCTTTAGGTAGTTGAGGCTCTTTGAAGGTTTGCTCAACATGTAATTACATGAACCCAACAGAGGGGATAAAGTCCCTCCTGAAGAAACATTGCAGCCCTCTTTTTTCTCCAGTCTTCTTTCCAGACAACCTTACCGTAGTTTGTCCTGCTCTCTGCGTAATCTGTCTTTTTCCGCCTGCTCGGCTTGGGCCTTCAGGGCTTTCTCCCTCTCCTCCTTCTCCCGGGCAGCACGACGGAACTGCTCAAAACTGTCACTCGATGACTTCACTGCAGATAAGGGCGTAGATGTGGACTTTTGTGCCAGGCTGGCCCATGAGCCCATATTCTTCAGTTTCACATCCTGTGACAAGAAGAGGAGAGTCACATTAATGATCAATCACGAGCCAATCAAATATCTTGCAAGATGCAATCGCATAAAGTTCCTATACAAAGAAATTAAAGAGATGTACGAGATTAAAAAAGCGACTGCACCCACCTGTACTTTTTTGGGGGCAATGGGCGCCTTGGACTCCTGCTTGAACTTATCCTTGTCTTGCAGAGAGGAGGGCGGCCCACTGGGCTCAGAGGAGCGGATTACAGGTCGTGAGCTGTCCATAGACTTCACATCTGCACAACATCAATACACACACATAAACAAACAAGCATAGTCTCAATATCTTGTGCAGCTTTTTCTTCTTATGGATTTTGACCACAGAAAGGAAAAACAAGAAGTCTTGGTACTCACTCTGTTGGCCGTGGCCTGGTTGAGAAGGTTTGATGTCAGGATGTTTGTGATGATCTGGTCTCATTGCAGGGTTAAATGGCTCTCCTCTCATCACTGGTGATGGAGGGAGTTTCTCCTCCTTTATCCCAACTTGACTCCCAGGGGGTCTCTGCTGCATCACAAGCAAATGGAGTCAAAGTCAGACACAGGCATGTGGAGACATAACGTAATTGCTGCACTAAACCTACTAAAATATTGTGTCCAACCTATACAAGTTTCTCACCTTTTTGGGTTGCATGTTGTGAGGTGGAGACTGGTGAGACACAGGTGGGTACTGGGGAAGTTGAGGGGAATGCATCATGAGAGGCGAAGGGTTGTCCCTCATGAGACCTGTCAATGGAAGGGAGGGGTGTAAATCTTCAGCCCACATTATTCATGTGTACAGTTTTTGCTTCTACAACCAGTTACGCAATACATATTTGTATGATTTTCTCAAACTCACCCGTGTTGTAAGGGTCTGCCTTGGTCGGGCGAGGGGAGGGCTGTTCTTGCTGCTGGATGATCTGCTGTGCTTTGTTGGTGGGCATGGATATCTTGTGTTGTGTTCCCTGGGACTGACCAGCTAGTCCAGGACCCTGCTGGTAGTTCAGTTGCTGCTGTTGTGGCTGCTGTTGCTGCTGCTGAGTGTGCTGCATGTGGCGGGCCTGGTGTAGAGGCATCTGTTGGGGCGGGGCCTGATGTGATGGGGCTGGCTGAGCCTGGGAATGAACAGGGAGATGTGGAGGAGGCAGCGTGGTCTGAGAGGAAAGCTGAGATTGTCCCTGGACAGACTGCAGGAGAGAGGTCTGTCCTGGTGGTTGTTGTTGTTGTTGTTGTTGTTGTTGTTGTTGTTGTTGTTGTTGTTGCTGCTGCTGCTGCTGCTGCTGCTGTTGCTGCTGCTGCTGCTGCTGCTGCTGCTGCTGACGAGCCTGCGCCTGGAGCGACTGCATGGACTGCTGGGGCTGACGGGCTTGCTGGAACTGCTGTAGGTATAATTGTACTTGGTTCATAGGCGTTGCAGAGCCTGGTTCTTCGTCATCCTCCAGCAGCATCTGGGGAGGCTGGGAAGAAAGCAAGCCCTGGGGTGTGAGTGTTGGAGGGGACATGGGCCGCTGGTGCAAGGGCTGAGGAGGGTGAAGGATCTGAGAGGGGAGTTGGTGCTGTGGTGGTGGTGCTGACTGGGGCTGGAGCTGCTGCTGCTGCTGTTGCTGTTGTTGTTGTTGTTGTTGCTGCTGCTGCTGCTGCTGCTGTTGCTGCTGCTGTTGCTGCTGCAGGGGTGGCTGCTGTTGCTGCTGCAGGGGTGGCTGCTGTTGCTGAGGAGGTGCTGGTTGCTGCTGAGGGGGTTTGGGATGAAGAGGCGCTGCCTTGTGGCTGGGTCGAGAAGGCTGCTGAGGCATGGAACTGTGCAAAGCTATAGATGCATAGTTCCAGGAAAGGAAGAAGAAAGAAAAAATATAATCTAGACTTGATGTGTGCCAATATTGAAAACTGCATGGGGACATGGGGGTTGCAGGAGACATTATTCATTTTTCATTAGTATTGGACCAGTCAAAAGTGCAGTAGCCTGCATACATTCTTACCTGGAGATGGGAGGATGGGATGCTGGTTGAGGAAGGGGTGGGTCTCAGGGGATACTGGACCAGCAGAATGAGCGTTGAGGTGTGGAGGTGCAGGTGATGAGGAGTTGCCCGTGTGGTGAGACAGATGCATGAGAGGCTGGCCGAACTCAAAGCTTGTCTCCAGTAACTGGGAAGACTCCAGAGCAGCTACAGGGGGAACTATGAAGCCTGTAGGAGATGGCTGATGGTGCTGCTGTTGCTGCTGCTGTTGTGCTGCTGCTGCTGCTGCTGCTGCTGCTGTTTCAACTGACTGCTGGATTGTATGCCGGCAGCTTGGGAATGAAGCACAGCCTGAGGAGGGCCGCTTTGAATGTGAAGATGCGTCTTCTTCCCCTCCTTCACAGATGGGCCCTTCTTCTTCTGCTGCTTTATTATTCCTGAAAATATGTGAAATAAAGATTTGGTAATGAACTTTATCCTCTTGATTATGGGCATTTTGAGTCGTCTAATATGCAGCAAATCACCTGTCCCATCAGCTTCACTGTCTGTGCTGGAGCCACTGCTCTCTGAAGAGGATCCAGTCTTTTTGGAGGTAGCCATGGACTCCACAGGCTTCTCAACTGAACAACAACAACAACAACAACAACGTGTTCATGCATTTTCATAATAAAGCATTAAATATGAAATTACTATGAGTAATTTCCTAAAGTCACATTTCTAAATGAACTAGAGAATCACGCTTCCAAAGACTGATCAGTTCCTCTTACTGGACTTACCTGGAACCCTTTTCTTCTTACTACGGAGGCAGGAAGACACATATCTCTCCAGCTCACGCAGAGTGGAAGGCTTTAGCGTCTCAAAGTCAATCTCGATCTCATCGGGGTTTGAGTTTTTGAGTGAGGGCTCTCTGGACTGGATGATATGCACTACACGGCCGAGTTTGTCCCCAGGAAGCTTGTTGATGTCAAGGCTAAGCTGCCTCTTCTCCTCGTATGTCATAGGCTTGCACTTTTCCCCTGTAGCTGATGACCCAGCTGCCCCCAGGTCATCTTCCAGGCTGGGAACTGGCTGCAGGTTGGAGGGATGACTGCTTTTCATGCCTTCCTTTTTACTACAAAAGGTAAAATACATAAGAAGGTGGATATAAAATGAGTAAGGGTATTATTGAATTGTGCATTGGCAAGCTGATGGCAAAAGAAACATCTAATGCCCAGGAGTTGCTCTAACTGACTGCAGGACATGGAGAAAGTTTACACAAATGTAAAACCTACCTGGGTTTCTTCTTGGGAACAACCTCTTTGTTGTTATTGTTACTTGTCTTGGTCTTCTTAGAGTGCTGAGAAATGGGTGTAGCATCCTGGATCTCATCTACAAGAGAAGGCATGCTTCCCTTCTTCTTATGCTTCTCTTTTTTCTTCTCCTTCTTCTCCTTCTCTTTCTCTTTTCTCTTTGGTTTGCTCGCTTGTGGTTGGGACAGGGCAGCTAGCTGCTCGTGGACAGCCTTCAACTGTACGAAGAGAAGAGACCAGTTCTCAACAAATGTAACAAGGGTTGGACTACAAATTTGCAGCCACCCTGAACCTTCTTTGGTCACTGACCTGTTCTTGGAGTTCTGCCAATCTCTGTGCTCTCTCCTCTTCAGAGTCATCCGTGGAAGACTCAGACTCAGAGGATGAGTCACTGGAGCTGTCTGAAGACGAGGCAACGTGGGCCAAAGGAGGCTGGGGCTTAACAGGGGCAGGATGGTGAAGCGTAGGAGCTGGGGCAGAAACCAAAGGCTTGCTCTCAGGTTCATCTGGCATCTTGGCAAATCGCATCTCGAAGACATCCTATAAAATGAAAAGAAACAAAACAAGCAAAGCATGATGTGTGTGTGTTTGTAGGAACACTCAAAACACAACAAACATTAGACATTTTTAAGACAGAGTTTTGTTGCAAATGTAAACTAAAACAAACAGTGATGCACTCTAATTTGTTGCTCACTTTTGAAATGGGTGCTTGTAAGTTAGTTGATACATGAAAAGATAATTGGAATTACCGACCTAATTCCCAGTAACACTAAACAGGACAGTTAATACATTGCAAAAATAATACCCTGTAACTATAAAACATGGATTACAAATATTTTTGTATTGACTATTATACATTGATAATTAATTGAAATAATGAAAATCAACATGGCTGATTTCAACTTATCCATTTGTGTCTATGTTGGTGAACTGCCTGTCATTTGTACTACTACTTTTCCTAAGTAACATTGTTTGCAAGTTAGACTATATTTACCTGCAGCTTGCGTGCCATAGCTACCACCTCGTGGTCTGGTGGATTGTATTTGTAACAGTTGGAAAACATTAATCGTACGTCAGCAGCAAACTCCTGGGGTTCCCGGTATTGCCTGTTCTCCAGCTTGACCTATTAAACACATCAAGGATAATAATTAGTTGCCATGCCACAAATCCTCTCGTTTCAATATATTATGGTACCGTTATAAACGAGGCAGTCTTCAACACACCTTGATGGTGCTGAGGTCCATTGGATGTTTGATGATATCGTGATAATCGTGTAGTCCCAGTGCATCCACATCAACAGGTTTGTAGAATGGCCAGGCGTAAGCAGCGTGTTTCTTGGACAGCATATCCCTAACTAGACTAGCACAGTAACCCAGCTGATCCTGTGGTTTGGGGCTATGACCTCCGCTTGGTCCGCTAAGTCCCATCCCCATGCCTATGTGATGCTGGGAGTCTGGAGCATCCTTCTTCATCAGTTTTGTAGGCCGGGTACTCTCTCGCCTGGGTAGTGTCTTCCCAGATTTGGACTCTGCTGGTGAAGACTCACTCAGTTGGTCATTTGCTGTGGGCGTTGTAGTGTCTGCTTTCCTTTTCTGGCTCTTTCTTTGCTAGATAGAAGTGAATATAAAGAAAGCAGACAAATAGGGCAAAATGGCAAAGAAATAAATTATTGCAATGAGATGCCAAAACTTAACCACACCTGTCTAATCAGGGCTCCAGCGTGAGTGTGACTAATAATTGTTCTAGGTCGCACCGGTGCACCTGACGCTGCCCGGGTGAAAACACAAACTTATTTCACAAGGGCATCATCTCTCTGTGTTCTCCTGTGACCGAACTCACACGCTCATGGTAGGATCATATCGTGTTCTAAACCAATAAGAGACAGAGCTCGGGCGGGTCTTTGCCTCTGATTGGCTGTGGGCCTGTTCACCGCGCTAAGTTGCGTGTGTTTAAAAATTGCCGAGCCTTGGTCCTTCGGCGACAGCATCAGACTCAGAACCAGAGGAGGAGACAACCGAGTCTGGGATAAAGCCCGGCTCCGAGACCCAAATTAAAAAGGTCAAAATATATTCCTTCAGACAGGACTGGCTGAAACAATTTCCCTGGCTGAGGTACAACAAAGGACGTAACGCAATGCACTGCGTGTACTGTCAGGAGTGCGGTCAGAATATGGCCGGAAGAGAGCGATAAAAAGGTGACCTTATGGCGTTAAAGGCAATGCAATGAAAAATTTGGGTGCACCTACATTTTGTGCTGGTGCACCTAAAAAAAAGTTGGGCGCACCAGTGCAACCAATGCAAAAAGTTAGTCTGGAGCCCTGCTAATGTTCACAAGCGTGGTCAAAAATGTGCCCACCTGCCCAAGCATATATCCCTGTGTCAATCACACTCACTTTGGTCATGGTTATAGGGTTCTGCAGCATGGGGGCAGTGCTCTGGATGGATGCTGGGGGAAGGGAAGTCTGAGCAGGGGGAGGCACAGAAGTCATGATGGGAACTTGAGGAGTGCAGTCTGATTGGCCCAAGGAGTAGGGAGCTCCAAGCTGTGGAGCATGGCTGGATAACGTTGGGGGCATGTGGGACGGCAGGGTCTGCATCAAAGGCTGGGGAGGTAGTGAAGGCGGGCCCTGCACTGGTCCTCTGGTCTGCGGTGCTGCTGAGAGGTTTGACAGACCACGCGTTTGAGGAGTCGTGGACGAAGGATCAATGATGGCCCCTGGTTTCAAGTTTAGACCTTGATGAGAGAACAAGACAATTGGATAAATATCCCGTCTCACAGAGGCCAGCTCTAAGAACATGAGTTTACAGAATAAGATAGTGTAAAGGGATAAATCGCGTACCTCCGTCTCTGCGGCCCCGGCCACGTCCCTTTCCTGTCATGACAACAATCTCAGTTTCTTCCTGAGGCATTTCTGAGACCTTTTGGAGGAAAGCCTTCTCTAGAGCCTCAGCCATTAAGACTATGTCATCTCCAGGCTGCAGGGGGAGACAAACACTCTTAGCAAAAGTGGAGGCATATCAGAATATTTGGCAATTAATGATAACAATGGCTTCAGTGTATATTACCTTGTTGTATATGTAGCAGTTGGTAAACATCGTGCTGAAGTCTTGGATACATTCTTGGGCATTCCAGTAGTAACTGTTCTCAAGCCTTTTCTTGATTGTTCCCATGTCCATAGGATTTTTGATTATTGTGTAGTAGTCCTGAAAAGGTTGCATATATGTATGTCAAAAATGCAAAGTAAAGTGCCTCTTTCAATTAATACTTGTTATTAATAATGTTATTATTAACTGAAGTACATAGCTAATTTTGGATTTCACCCATCATCCTGTCAGCATTTTGATTTAAATAAATCTTAACCAGTACCAGTACCCTAATCGACTGCTGTCCTTGCCAGCAAAGAGATCCCAAATATGTAGACATAGGACAAAGCCTGTAAGCTGCACACACAGACCTGCAGCTCTTTATACAGAGGGCAGAGGAAAAAGTCCCAGCCCACACAGCATTTGAATGTTGATTTAGGATTTGAATATCAAAAGTATGAACAACGCTTCAAACTATTTGTTAAATTACCTAATTTATATACTTTTTTCAGGAATAATAGAAATTAGGGCACTCGTTGAATCGTTTCAGCCCTGCAGCATAGTATCGCTCTCTCCCCTTTCCTTTCACTCTTCAGCTATCACTATCTATTAAAAGGCAATAAAAGCCCAGAAAAATAAAAACAAAAATGTGGAGATTCAGCAAAATATAGAGGAAAAGGCGGCAGGCACGTTTGACGCACATTTTAGTTGACAAAATGTGAAAAAAACCTTTTGGGATTTGGTGTATAATAGCTGCACATTATTACAATCAGATAATTTAGTAATCATTTTAGGCCTACAACATTGAAAATGAAAATGTTAACAAATAACCGTTATCCATTTCCATATACATATCCATTGGGAGCCACTGGAGAGTGGCTAAAGAGCCGCATATGTCTCTGGAGCCACAGGTTAAGGCTTACCCCCTGTCCTAGAGGAAACGCTCAAAATAATTTTTGCAAAAGTATTTATTATCTGATTACTTTATAATAGGTAGGATACTACGCTGTAAGTAAACAGTAAAGGAAATGGGTGACCCAGTTGGTTTGCACATAGTAATAAACATAAAATATCACAGATCGATATGCAAGATTCATACAGACGTACAGCTGAAATGTGTAGAAGCACATAACCTGGTGGCAATTTGTATGTGATGCCTAGGGTGTACATAAACGTTTTTAGGTATGTGGCATCATCCACACGGAGACAAAAATCAATACTCACAGGCAGGTTAAGTTTGAGTGCATCCACTGGTGCATGAAAGGGCCAGGCAAACTGGTGCTTCCACAGGGCCTTCACCACCATCTTGAGCAGGTACTGCAGCTGATTGGTCTGGCGCTTTGGCCTGTCGGGATTGATGTACTCTGGGGGTGGGGGGTTGCCCGAATGCTGGGCCTGCCCCTGGCTGCTGCTGCTGCCCGACATCTGCGCTGCATCCAGGCCGTCCCCCATTCTAACAGGATTGGGCGCGGGCCCCGGAGCGGGAGCTGGAGCTGGAGCAGGGGCAGGAGTAGTGGTGTTGGCAGGACACCAGTTCAGTCTTGGCCCCGGCACAGACTCCACTGACAGAGCACCGCTGATCCCATTGCACTCCTCGCTGGACTCTCTGGAGAGAGAAAATAGTATACTGTCATTATCATACAAATATATATCAAAACCATAGTCTTCAATAAAATGTTATGTCATAAGAAGACCTCTGATTCCTTTTGTAAAAAGGAGTGATTCAATTAATAAAATCGAAGCACACATGACAAATTATCTACTCAACAGTTTTAAAACTATAAATATAATAATCAGTGAACAAGGTATGCTAAAATGCAGTTAACCATAAAATGCAGTTGTGTTTTGGGCTATCTAATTCTCACAGTTAACCATGCATTTTACTGACAACAAACATTACTGATATTTATTCATTCAAAAGTATAAATGTTAACTCTTTTAAAGACTTTCGTTATTCAAAAATGACACCCAAACAGAGCCTGCACTGTATTCAGAAGAGCTCAGATATTGTTGAAGTTTAGGTTTGGCTCTAGCGTGCGTTTGTGTGTGAGGGGGGGGTTAGCGTCATCTGGCAGCTGAGGGACTGTGTGTTCCACTACGCAGCGCTCAGTCCTAAATAATGTCCTCTCCCAGGCAGTCAGGGACATCACATTCAAGTTACACACAGAGGCTGCTAAGACAACAACAAGGCCAAAAAAATCTAGAAATGCTTGACTAAAAATAGACTGGGGAACAACAATGTTCTGGAAAAAAAGCACTGATCACCAGGTTGGGTATTCAAGCCTCTAATAGGTACAAGTTAGTTTTCCAGTCTCACGCACTGAAATCTACCTCCACAACAGGGCCTTAAAGATAAAACCCACACCACTGTATAGATCTGTGACTAATCTAATTCCTGATGAGTCACATTCTAAGAGGCAGGCAGTTTGCATACCACATGATCACTGCCTTGGCCCCCCGAGGCACTCAAACACAGTGGAGAATCTGACTAACTGTCCAATATGCTGAATGACAACACATGAAAAGAAACAGTACTTGTCTTACGCAGATGGTACTTTTTTGGCTGGAAGCAAAAAGACCTCACAAATAAGACCAAAATAAACAAGCACAGAACTTGTCTCGCACCAAGGCAAGAATGTGCACATTTAGTCCATAGCTTACGTCCATCAATACAGCAAAACTGAACAGCTATTGATTGAGTATTCTACCATCAATTAATCAAGTGCTCTGATAAGAAATTATTTTGCTTTATTAGAGAGAGTAAATATACAAAAGAGAAAATAAGACAGGTCTCTTAGAAGAAAAGGAAAAACAAATTGGTTTATGCAGTTCTTCCAAGAATTCCTTCGGCAGTGGGGGTAAAGGATTCTGTTGTACCACCATTGTACTTGTTGTGGAGTATTTTCAAAAGAGGGGTATTAGTACTCCTGCTAAAATAAAGGATAGGATTCTTTCTCCACCTCTGGAGTCAAGCAGGTTTATTGTAAAAGCATTTCAAAATGGGAAGTTCCTTTACTTTCCTAAAGATGTAGATAAGCTCAGGTTGAAGTGTAATAGAGCCCATTTATTTAACATTACTACAGCATCTTTTTTTACTCTCAGAGCGGAGTTGGACTGTGAAAAGCTAAATTAGCAGCCAGGCATAACTGATTTCTAGTAATCAAGTTACTTGAGGAATCATAAGCCCTAAAAGAAATTAAACAGATGACACTGCCAGCATTTCATCTCCACCACTCAAGAAGACGAAAAATGAGGTTTCAACCTGTCTTTAAAAAAATAGTCTGGAGCGGAAAAAAGCAGATAGCCAAGTAATTGTCCAGTATCAAATGATTAATTAGTCAGCCTCTAATTAGAATTATGCATGTCATTATGCATGTCATCTTATTTTCCGGTTTTCTGGTATCAGGAATTTAAGCAGTGTTTCAACAGAAGCTATGAAGCGAACAATTTACCAGAGCAGAATCAATACCTCTCTGACACAGTTTCAACGAGGGCTAGCGCATTGGACTGCACTAGACTGTACAGGTGTTCATGATATTGTGTCTACCACCTTTGTTTTAGAGATTGCACTAGACAGCGTTCACTTCAGCTGGAGATATTTCCACTTTTGTGTTTCTACCTTCATTGTCAAGTCTATGACAATTGATTTGGACTAGTTGTCAAAGAGATGAACAGTTAAAGAGCAGGCAACTCAAAACATCTTGTCAACGCGTCATACATGACACATGCAGGAGCACTTGGCTCTGTAAGTGAACCATGGGATCTAGTGGCTAAATAGCTGACCTAGCCTAACTAGAATGACAACCTTCAGATAAGTGATCAGGAAGTCTGACAGAAGATGAACTTAGATAATCTTCTCTCTTGGTAAACATGACGAGCTTGCAATTAGAACTGAAACGTTTTGTTTATTATTTCATCAACATGCTGAAGACTCTAAAATAAAAAATGTTTGAGGAACACAAATATAGTTTCTCAAATCAATATACCAGAATATTTATGCTGCGAGTTTTACTGTTCTCCTCAGTCCTTGTACTTTTTAATCCAATACAACCGTCTATACAACCTACCTATGATATATTTCATTCAGTCTTTCTAATATTTTGTTCTACCATAAGGTGATGGAATATTACAAAACCCTTTTCAATACGATGCAGTCTAATTAAACATCAACACAAAGTACTGAATCAGATTTTACCATAGTACTGAGTCAACTCACATACAACTAAAGTAGTAGTCTCAACAAGTGTTAAATATGTGGTAGTTTATTGCGTCTCTATTGTACAGCATGTTTAACAGTGTATGCAAGTTTTCCTTGGTTACTTTATTGTTGACTCCCACTGAGTGTGTCTGTTGCGGTTATATACATGTGTCAACTACAAAGAGCCTTTTGTTAAAGGGACATTGTGTAGTGTTTTAAGTATTTTATTAGCTAAAATCAATGTCTTCATTCATAAATGTGTCCTCATTGGTGTAAAATGACCTCTGCCAATGATCTGACTTATCCTCGTAAGCGAAGAATTTCTTATCTGTATATACATTGGATGGGCAAGTCCATGGAGGCTTCCATGTCGTTCCGCCATTTTGAAAAACTATAATCGCCGAGAGGGACATAAAGCACTAGCCTACCTATCTAGCTAATCCACAACGCGTTTTGCTTCAGAGCCAGCAAACATCGGGGTAGCTTTTCCCAGGTGGAAAGAGCTAATGAAGGAGAAAGACTTTCAAAGGGACGCTGAAGTTGCCTGCTTTCTCCTCGACAGGTAGGCTTCTTGGTACATAACGGCTACCGTAGTTGCAATACGCATTTGAAAACGCGAGGCACTAGAGAGCACTTTTCGTTTGAATGCAAAATATAATTTCACCGCTAGATGGGAGAAATTCCTACACAATGTCCCTTTAAAATTACAATGTGAATGTGAGGGATACTGTTGGGGTCTAGATAATAATCAGTCAGACACAATGACTTATTCTGCCCAAACACTAGTACCGAGTTGTCTTGTAATCTTATACGATATCTCCATTGGGAAGTTGTAATATAACAGGTGCAATTCCTTATCATTGCTGTAGTCTTGTACAAAATCTAGAAGGAAGATGTTAAGGGATATGTGTTATGCAACTGAATAAGATACTGTATTAAAATTGTCTAAATGAAGTATGTACTGTTCATGCACAGTACAGACGGCTAGGGGAACCAGACAGACAACTACAGCATTAATAGCTCCAGAGCCCGCATTATATGAAGTCCTCCACAAGGACAAAGTCAAAAAAGTTTTTCCACAATATGAGCCTGGTCCAGCTGTCCTCCATTGCTGCATGGAGCAAAGTCTAAATCACACACACACACACACACACACACACACACACACACACACACACACACACACACACACACACACACACACACACACACACACACACACACACACACACACACTGCCAGATGGTCCTCAACAGTTCATTAACATCAGTGACAAGCACACTCACAACGAGAGCCATTGACATTACAGCACAGCAACAATGACGAGTGTAAACAAACTTTCTGGGAACACAGACAGAGGCAATAAAATGAGGGAGCATGAATGACACCTCCTGTAGGATTTAGGCATCTGTAGTACAGGCATAGATCTAAAAGAGGCAATACTTCCTAATGACTCACTGGCACAGATTTCCCTGCAGTCTACACATCTTGTGGTGCACCTAATAGTAGTTTGGCCTATTGGTCCCTTGTGTTCCTGAATTTTCTCTCTCGCACGCATGCACACACACGAAAGCTCCGGTTTTGCTTTGGTATCTATCTCTCTAACTATCCATCTAGCACAGAAAAGCCATTTCTGGAAAAACACTGACGTGCAGGACAACCCTACATTACTTGTCACGAAAAGAGAGAAAGGTTTTAGCTATTAGGTTACACATATCAATCCCCTTGCAACATGTTAACTTCATCAAGACCATGTGTTCATACAATGATAAATTCTTAATGACAGCACTTGGCTAACCTGGGCCTGCTCTGTTGACTTGACAAATACCAGTTTTGTGAGATACTCTTTACTCTTCAGAAACCATAATAATGATATTGTGTTATACCTGACAGAATTGACAGAATTAGAGGTAACGGGAAGTTGACATCTTATCATCGCTATACTTCTGTATGACTACATGACTGTACATTGCATTATTTTCAAATTTATAAATTATGGAGTCAAAGAACTTTAGACAAACAAAAGTAAATACAAAGCCTGCTCTATTGTTTTCTGTTTGTCAAGATATAGCCTCCTGTATAGCCTCACAGGCTATAAGTGCATCATGTTGTTTGCATGTCCACTGCATCTCAAGTTCCATTAAGGTTTATGCTAAATGATTAAATTCATGGTTGAAGTCAAAGCTATTGTTTTGTGTACATTCAAAATAGTGAGTAGTGGAAAGGGAACCTGCTGAGCCTGTTTTTTCTAGTTCCTTTTATGTTTTAGTAAGTAACCATAATGAACATACTACCAACTACAGTGAAGCTTATTTCTTTTTTTTTTCTTTCCTGAAGGTAGTTGATTATATTGTCAAACATAAATGACATCAAACCATCCCTAGTTTTTATATTTATATAAAATTATTTCCTCTCAATTAACTAATAGTTTGAGCAATAGACAAAACACATAGGTAAATGGAAGACAAAAAGCAGGCATGATGCTTTTTGGCCATTAAGTGATATTCAGAACTGCAAACTTCAAACCCAAATACATTATGGCTGCCAAGACAGCACTACCTTAGGAGTAGGCACTTTTGGGTGCAGGAACTATGGCAATGGAGTCAAGGACATCCTTAAAAGTCAAGACCTCAGAAGTATGTGTTACACTCAAGCTTAATAATCGCTTTGTTATGAAAATTACCATGTACATAGTTAGATCCCCAATTCCATCAAGATTAAACTACACTACAGGAAGTATTGCAGGTTTGTAAATGTAATGACTTTGAATCTTGAGTAAAACTTGATTTACAACCAGTCAATATGACAAATTAGTAACACTGTCTAGAGGGAGCAATGTTGGCATGTGTGACTAATCAAGTCTCCAGAAGCCCCCCACAGGGGTCATTCAAGAGGTTCACTTCCTGTTGCTGCATGTCCTACATTGCTCTCAGCTCTGGAATACCAGTTGACCATTGACCTGGACATACATCACTGCAGACTGCTGTGGAATGTTTTCTGGGGAGGAAGTGGTTCTAGTTACCAGGGGTGGGGGATGTACACCTCATACTGGAAATCTGGTTCTGTGTGCAGCGTCACAGTGACTGTCCTACATGGAAGGGGGAGGAAAACATAATAGCAAGATGTCTGCATCCCCCAGGAAAGTAAACTATTAATCATTCATGTATGGGGGGAGGTTGTCGATTTAAGGCAAAAATATAGGCCTGCAGATTGCACTTGAGGTCCTTACTAAGTGTCAGGATGATGGCCTATGTTTTGCCTGAAAGCAAATGAATAAATAATTAATGGAGCCACAGTGACAAGGCCAAGAACACCACTCCCTGCTTATTTACCAGTCTTTTCACTCTTTCTTAACAACCATCTTCAACCCTGCTCCAGGGAGCCAATGCAATATCAGTACACAGCAATGTATTGATTCCAGTGATGCTCTTATTCGTTGGTCTCTTTGGAGTGCAAATGGCTGTCTTTAATAGGACTGCTTCCTAATCGTTGACTTAATCATTACTCAACGTGAAGAGTCTTATTCGACCCAGTTTTCATTGGTCGGACAGTCGCAGAAAGACAAAACCCGTCAAACTCTGTTCGGGAGCTGCACCCTTGTGGGACAAACAGTATCAGGGGGTTGCTGCAACACACTAAGACCTTGTTAGGCAATCTTAAAACACACCTCATTCATACTTAACAGAAACAAAATAAAACTCACAAACCCATCTTTGTTAGTCTTTACACTGTTCTAACAATCACCAGCTCTGGTGTCTAACCATCTAACAGAGGTAGATGTGAAAATATTATGGCTGTACGCGCTGTCCCTCTCTCTCTGATGCCCGACTTCCCTCGCTCCTCTACCTCTACTTCCTTCACACCTCTCCCATGATAAAGTCACTTTATAACTGTATTCTCTGTTGTCAAACTAGTTGAAATAAACCCTTAATTCACAGCAGATAGATGTGAAAATACACTGGCTCTACCGCTGGCTTTCCTTCTTGGGAGGCAGGCCTTTAAATTAGCAAATAAAATGACAAATAAATCTGCTAAAACACACAACCAGCCAATATATTCGTCCAATCGCCAACCCTAGTGTGTAGCAAGTTAATTTGTAAGTAACTGTTAACATTATACACGATCTGTTGTATTGATCCACGAGTATTTGTTTTTGTGAAGTTGGAAGATATTTATTCCCTGTTTTGAACAATGAGACATGTGTGATGTAAATAAATAAACACATTAACTACATTTCTAGTCTCCTTGCTAGTTGTAATGACACATTCAGAATCATAACCGCTTTTTCCATTAGCATTTGATAGGCAGCTGCTTTGCAGTGGCATTGACACCCTATGGTCTTCTAACTTGTGTACAAAGAAGAGACGTAGGTGAGAAACTGCACTAAATGAGTCAACTTATTGATTCACTAGGCTTCAAAGTAGAGGTGGGCGATATAGTTTGCGATTTTATCGTCATTTCCATTATCGAGTATTTAAATTACTTCGCCAAAAATATTGAAACACACGCAGAAACTCCTCACATCCACTTAATACACGGTGCAGCAATGCTCTCTACAGCATGGCAGGATTCAGTCACACGTCTAGTGGGCCTAGGGTTGCTGTTGTTCACATGACGTGATCACGTGACCTCTCGCTAGCATCCTCCTTGCAACAGTTTAGCAGCGCGTTGTGATGGTGGAGAGAAAATGCAAACACCTCCAGTCCCTGAAGCTACCGGTACTTCAGATGATTTCGTGCCGAGACGTGGCTCTACCTCTCTGGCATGGAAATGGTTTAGTTTCGAAAATACTTTTTTTAGGGCAGCGCTCAGAGCGCTTCAAGTTGAAATCTGTTCCACTTTTAACACCGCTGGGCACTCGGAAAATGAGTTTTTGAGCGCTCTCAGCGCTAAAATAGCGTTTGGTGGACACCAAGCCCTAACTCAGGCGATTCCAATCACATTTTAAAGGATATCAACTGATTATCGTTATCGCCAAAATCCAAAAAAATAATTGTGTGCCCATATCTCCCACCCATACTTCAAAGCCATTCTGAGAGCTATCTTTCATAGACGGCTTCCACCATTTATTCAACATAACTGTCTTCCATTAAGGGTCAACTAGTACCAATGGTAGTGACCACATGAAAAATTATGGGTAATGGTTAGCCACAGACCCTTAACTATGACCCATAGCATCAGAAGGCCAACCATGGACGCGTGTCAAGGCATATTATGCTCGCCAATAAAAACACTAAGCTGCCAAGAAGTGCATTTAATCTTTTCAGGGTTTCCCGCAGCACCTTGCAGCTAAGGCGGCCGTCTTAGCCACACACTACTGCCTCACCATCTGCACCCCCCCCGGTCTGACGGCCTACCACCTTGACTAACATTTCCTGCAGGAAACCCTGCTTTTATATTTTTCCAATCTATTCTGTAAATAACGACAGGCTGAAGAGGAACAGTAAATTACTTTAACTGCTCAACTAAGCAACTGTGTCAATAAAGCTTTAATCAAGGCAATACGTGTATGTATTACATAAACTCTTGATGATTTTTTATTCATCGCTAATGTGTCTGATGATCTGTTAAGGAAAAGGTTAAGCTTATAATTTGCATAACTACTCAAGGATGTCCCAATGCAACATCTTTCTTTCTCCTTTCAAAATCACAGTGCGATTTTCAACAATTAAGACAGTATTACCAGCTTGAACCACGATTCAAGCTATACAACCACAGTTTAACAACAAAATGCCATTATGGAAAAACACTGTATGACTGTACAGAAGTTATACACAACAGTATCAAAGTGATGTACACAGTAGAATATCAGCCCCCCCTACATCTCTCTCACTTATATAGTGTGGGACTGACTACTGCCAATGGAATTATACACCAGTAATATTCCAAGAGACATTAAGCAAAGTTAATAATCCTAAATTCGTCCACTTGTATCATATGCGATTGGTCTGTTGCTACCTTGTTTGAGAACCTCTGACACTTGGCTTCAAGAAGAACGGATGTTCCCATGGTTTCTATGGTAACAATCTAATTCTTCACCAGTGTACTGCATTTATATTCTCGATGGTTCAAAGTCCTATAAACAAAGAATTAAAACTGGGGTGTACCAGTTACAACCAGTTCAAATCTAACATGATTCATTGTTTTCAATAATTCATCACAAGGTCGCAAACGGAAAGAAGCTTGCCTAGTATTGATTACAGTCACTTACTATTTGAGTCAGTGCATGAGCATACAAAGTGTCTTAAATAGACTAACCATGAGTCAGGCACATTATAACAGGAAATGACAAGAATCATGCCAGCTCTTGCAGGCTAAACTTCCAGCTGGTGCAAGCCAAACCCTACCGGGAAGCAGGAGACATTTCTACGACTGCCACACACACACACACACACAAAACCCCCTTCTTCCTCTGTAGTCCCCCTTCCCCCACACCCCCCTCTCTCATCAGGAGGTAGGTTCATGGCTTTTGGCTGAAATCTGGATAACAATACTATTCTCAAAAACACAGAACAGAAGAAATCTAAACTGGCTTGTTGTGCTGTACCACGTAAAAACTAGAGATAGTGCTAACCACATGATAGTTCCAAAAACCATTACTCCAGGTTGTCTTTAATTTAATCTTCCCCTCTGCTTTGTAACCATGAATTTGAATTGATATATTTAAATAGTATAGACTTCAATGACTCTGTTAAATATCTGAAAACTTTGTAGGAGTCTACCCCACAAGATAACATTACCTTTTCACAGAGACTGAATGTGCAATTTTTTCCAGAAGGGCGTCCAGTTTTTGAAAATCCAGCAAATCATTTGACTTGGCATGCATCTTGTAATCCATTTATGAACTCCACTAAACAGAAACAGAAACCAAAAGCCAAAAAAGGGCACAAAAGAATTACACAGAAGTTTGTTTTTCCTTTTCTCTCATCCAAAACACAAGAGATTTATTCTTCAGGCTCCAGTATGTATCCTAAATTCCCACTCAACACGATGAGTAATCCTTAGTGTAGTCCAAGTGGAGTTTGACGGTGGCTGTTTTACAAAAAAGCCCTGGTCTGGAAACAGTGGGTCCAGGCGGAGAGGAAAGGCTGTGGTAGCCTACAGCCAGCAGGCTGTGTTAGCTGTGTGAACCGGTCCTCTCTCTACCCCATCCCCCTCTCAGCAGTACAACGGCCCAGTTGCCACAGGCTCTTCGCTCCATTGTGTGTCCTCTCCAGGGCCTCCCCAACTTAAATGGACACAAGCCGCAAACAAGAGGTGTACAAGGAGGAGAAGGGAAGGCGAGAGAGGGGAGAGCGGGCTCCGATAAGATCCTGGAGGAGCACTCTATTCCTCTGGCTCGCTCTCTCACCCTCTCTCTAGCACAGGCAGAGCAGCATGCAGTTACTCAACAGTAAAAATGGCTCTGCTGCTTCCTCATTCAGGCGAGACTCAGCCCACACACCCCTCCCTCCCTCCCTCCCTCCCTCCTACGCGCTTGCTCATTCCACCCCTCCCCTATTTCCCCATCAATAGCTTGAGGTCTCTCCTCTCTCTCCTCTCTCTCTCTTACACCTTTAACACCCCACCCCCTTCCTGTCTTTTCCTCTGTCCATTTCATCATGCCCCACCCCCACTCACTCTCTTCCCTCAGTGATCTTGTATGTGCCTTCCCCCACCAATTTAAAGGCTCCCTTATCTGCACTCCATCTTCTCCTCATATATTACCCACATTCATATTCTTGCTGGACTAGTCCAATAGAAAAAAAGATGCACAACAGTTGTTTTCTGAAAAGACTACTACTACTACTACTACGCCAAAAATATAAACTCTGCAATCCAAGTAACAGCAGCAACCCTAAATCACATCTCAAATCTAGTCTAAAATATGTCATTATTGCAGCACCACAATTAAACTAATTAAAATTTAGGAAATTGGTCAAATTAAAAAAAAAAAAAACCTTCAACCGTACCTTATAACCACAAGGCAATATCCAACTCTGTGAGCTAATTAGTAAACTGTGCTATCAACCACCTGCATGAAGGCAGAGGCCACACAGCTCAGAACTGCAGGTAAAAAGTCAATAATCTGGATGCGAGACATAACGTGGGGCAGTGTAACAAACTGGGGACATGAAAAAGGAAAACTGAGGTGAACACAGACAGAGTGTGACAGAAGGAGTACAAAAGAGTGAGACCACCCACTGTGCCTTCCTGTAGCAGAGCAACCTCCAGTAATGATGTTGATGACTGTTACTGCACTGCACTGGTGGCAGGAAGTACAGCACTCTTTTAATCAGATTAACTGGATTATTGCCAACATTAATTTGTATTGTTATGATGTCTAGACAAATTTAACTTTGGATACAACTGTGACCATATGCCTTCAGCTTCATCAGATCTTATCAAGGGAAAGAACTAATAAAATAATTCAGAAAAACTAAAAAGCTAGTTCTTAGTAGGCCAGGTAAATACAGAAGTGTTAGTAAATGCTGCCTAATAATACCTGCATAATGCCTATAAAGGGCCAAAATGTATAGGGATCTCTCTGAGTGGGGGATGGTACAAGTTGGGGAACATATGTGCACATCAATCACAACTCAAAATACAATCTCAGGAGACAAATGTGACATGCCAAGACCCTGTACCAATCAACCAACCCACCCTGATAATGCTGCCTCTTAACTCTGTTAAAGAAGCACTAAACGATTAACCTCCTGTTCACTAAACATCAAGAGAGAACATGAGCAAATTTTCCAGTTAGGGTTAAATGAGAGGTGTGGAGACATTTCATGACTTTATGCAACTCCTTAAACTGTAAAACATTGCATTTTAGTGTACATCACAGTATATTAAACCCAACACATTATATGTCAATGTAACTAATATGCTACTAGAGGCAAGTGGACCACTGAACTCTCAATCGTAAGTGTCATGTGCATGCAAATACGCACATACCCACAAAGTTTCAGAAGCAGTCAGATGTCAAACCCCCGAGAGATCAGGTGAGTAAAGACACGCCATGCGCAATGTATACTTGTCAGGTGACAGGTTTGTGTTTCATTTGGGTTTTCCCAAACGAAACACAGAGCAGCTCATCCGCGCTGCAGCCAGACTCAGCGCCCTCACAGACCCACTTCCCTGTCCACGTGCCATATGCACCATTCCCAAAGACAATAAAGCAGCTGCCAGAGTGACAAAGCTCCAACCTACAGCAATTCAGAGGAGGCCAAACTGATGGCCCTGTCACTGGAAGGGTGGGGGGAGATTGTATTCAGACACGGTGAGGGAGGGAGGGATGATAGCGAGAGGAAGGGGGAATGCGAAGAAGAGGGTTGCATTTACACTGGGGTTGGGTCAGACGGAAAGGCAGCAGTGCACACAGAGATGAGACTCTGCGAGAAAGTCTCAGGGCACTTCCATTAATCATCAGAGCACTGGAGTAGGCAAAATCTACAGGGACCCGGAGTAGAGAAAACAGAGAACAGGCAATTTGCCAACCTGACATGGTGTAGCATGCACTTGTGTATATTCAGTTATACATTGTGAAAAACAATAAGGATGGTTAAAGAGATACACAGTAGTAAAAATAACAAAAACCTTTGTTGTTATTTGTGCCTTAACTGAAATCTTTTTACACCCAGAAAATCTCTTATTATTCAACAACCTGTAAACGACAATCCAAGCATCTCCCGCATCTTCTCTCCAGTCTTCTTACTAGATCCAGGATTAAGGAGAATGTCGTACCAATTAAAAAAGGGGCACTCCACCAATTTGCCGTTTGCTTGTTTCAAGGAGTTCTAGCCAGCTACTGAATCTTCTGTGGCTCTGAAAGAAGCTGTCTGAAGTTAAAAGAAATAACCTTGACGTTATCATCATGCTAGACACTAACAGTCAGATTAGGCTGCTTTGATTTTAACCATTTATTAACTGTCTCTTGTGAGTTCTCCGACTTTGTGGAAGTGAAATACTATAAAAGTTTACTATAGTAACTGTTTAAGCATCTTCAGACTTACTACCTATGGACTTTAGATTTCACTTGCAAAGTATATCTGGTCCCTGCATAGTGACCTTTCAATTTATTTTTATGTCAACCATAGACACAGAGCCCTAGCAATCCATAAATGTATTTTACACTTCAACCTCAGCTCATGTTTTACTAATCTCAATCCACCCAACACACACAAATACTTTGTTTTTATATTTCCCAGGCTTTAAAGGAAGAATTACTGAATTTTTTCATAGAAACTAAGTTTCAAAACATGACGGATATCCAACATTTTAGATAGCACTGTATAACAGGGAAATCTTCTGAAATAATATGTATTCAGATATAAGTATTTAAAATATTCTCAAATCCATTAGACAATTACCAAAATTTCATGAAGTGGTTCTTAAAGTAGGGCTGAACGATTAATTGCATTTGCGAAAATAACGCAATTACAAGGTGGTCACATGACGCGAGCGAAAGAGTGGAGAACTCGGCTGCATCAACTTTTCATGCTGCCCTTTAACCTGTTACGTAATAGCCTCTGGCTCGACGGAAGAGTCAGAAACTGACACAGCTGAGACTTTAGTCTCGAAGAGGAACAGCACGTCGGTGGTGTGGAATTATTTTGGTTTCAAAAAAGAAGATGCTGCGCAGCGTCAGGTGTTGTGCAAAGCATGCCGTGCTCCCATTGCTACTTCACAGGGTAACACAACAAACTTGTTCCAGCACTTAAAAAAATACCACAAATCATTGTATGACAGTTGTATGGCCAAACTGCAGAGCACCAGTGCGCCAGACAAGCCAAATACCTCAAGACAGGGATCACTGACACTGAATGTTTTAAAGTGTCACTCCATATGAACGTAATTCAAAACGGCACAGGGAAATCACTCGGGCAATAACCGAGTTCATGGCCAAAGATATGATGCCTGTCAGCACGGTGACCAAGCCTGGGTTCATGGCATTGATAAATACGCTTGATAAACGGTACAGTATACCCTCCCGTTGGATCATTATGGCTGGCAGTGCCATACTAATAGTGAACTTTAGTCTGTGTGGTGTGTTATTGTTGTGTACTTGACATAAGTGAGGGTGATCTATATTATAATATTCAAATTGTTTTTTTTATTGTCTAATTTAAAAGTGCATTTCTCCGTTTTTTATTCATAACTTTATTTACTCTGATTTTACAAAATATTTTCAAAGTAGTAGAGGCAAATTCTATGTTTCAGTTGTGTGAGATGTTACTGACTTGGGAGCAGTAAGATATATATAATTTTAAATTATTTTTTTCTTACGACTGTAAATTTGGCAGTGTGTACAAAGTACATGCCTTTGTTTAAATTACTTAAATGCACAGTGGCCCTAAAGCCACAGATGTTTCTGTATTGAGCAGTTAAATAAAAATGTCATTTATTTCAAGTCATACATCTTTTAATTTAATTCTAACAAATAGGCACAGCCTATGGGAAAGAACATTTTACACTAAATGTATCTAATATTGTGTTGGTCATAGTTAAATCATTTGTTATGTTTTGTTGGGGAAAAAAAGAGGATAAAATAAAAAATAAATAAAAAATTGCATATTAAATTGCAATTGCAATATTGGGGGGAAAAAAATCGCAATTAGATTATTTTCCCAAATCGTTCAGCCCTATCTTAAAACTCCTATAAATCAGTATGTCTATAGTAATAATGTATTAAATCACAATGTGAAAACTATGTGACAATGTGAGAACAGATGTTCGTAGTGATGAACCTACAGAGAATTATCACCCACATCTGAAGCTCCCTTCGGCTTTATGGAGCTTTACAGCTGGTCTTTGCTCATTGTTCAGCTGTCGGCACACAACTTCACTGTTTTGGTTCACACATAGCATTGCTTTCAACCAAAGCGTGCAGCTGTAATCAACGAAAAATGTCTAAAAACCTACTGGACACTACTAGCTCAGCACCAAACAGTGGGCAGACACCGTTAACGACTAGTTGGTGAACATAGTGGAGAATTTAGCAACAAAAGTATTAACTATTTTACTCAGTAGTTGACTAAAATAGAGGAGAGTGAATATGGGACTTACATTTTCCAGGTGGCCACAGCGACACGTCTCCAAATGACTGACAAATGTTGCTCTCTAACTGCTGCATGTGTAAATAAGCAATATGACAAGCCCACAAGTTTACTATATCAACTTAAAAAGGTGATATACTAATGTGCCAGACATTATTAATAGAACATTGTGACGCAAGAACATGTTTGGCAAAGGTTTGTGAGGTGTGACGTGATCCATGTACGACTGGACTGTATCAATGTCTGCTCTAAATAAATCTCAGACAAATATTGTTGAAAATCTGCAAATTCAACAGCATATTTTATTAAAAGCATTATTCATGTGTAATATTATACAGACAGCCTATTAGGCTATTGGTT